AAAATTCAAACTTTTAACATTGTAATTATAATGTATATGTATTAATATATTCTCACCATCGATTATAAGTTTTTATCTATAATATTAGGTGAAAAAAATCCACTTATACTATTTTAAAAAAATATTTATAAAATAATTTAATACTATTAATCCTTATTGAAAAAAAAAATTCAAAATAGTCTTCTAAATTAAAATTTTCTATTTCCATCTCATAAATCATATTAAACTTTTTAATATTACTCTTAAAAATTTTTAAAATATTAATAAAACTTTTCAAAAAAAAAAAAATCTTGAAATATTTATTATTTTTAAAACTTTCACAAACAGAGGTGTTTTTTAAACAAAATAGAGTCCAAAATTTTTAAATTTCTTAAAAAAAATAAATTATTGGAACATTTCAAACAAAATATTTTCTAATTAAATGCATTTTTTATTAAGTAGCATATTTTCTTTTAGATCAAATAAAAAATTTAAATTTAAATTTAATATTTATCCATATTTAATTAGGCAGAATTCATACCATTATCAAATTAAATATTATATAAATCTAATAAAATGATTTAAGTATTTTAGAACAGGATTTAAATATTCTAAGAATAGATTGTATAATGTCTACTATAAATATTGTTCTATCTTATCATCTCGTATGGTAATAGTTTTTGTAACGTCTTATAATAATACTATGAACGAAACTTAATTAACCTAAAAATTGTTATAATTCGAGTATAAATAATTAAATTTTAGAAAATAGGATAAAGAGTTTAAAGGCTATAAACATACATAAAATTCCACATAAAATCTTAAAAAAAAAATTAAAAATTAAAACATTAGCATATAAAATAAAGAAGGAGGTGAGTATTACCAGCAGATAGAAGGCAGCTTGAAGGAGAAGGAAGAAGGCAAATGGCCAGTCCTCTTTACATAATCAGATTTCTCCCATGTCTTTACTGCTTTCTCGTTCAGCTTCGCCTCTGCATTTGCTCGCCTCTCTTCCGCCATTCTCGTCGCTGCCGCAAGCTTTTTCGCCATCTTCTCCTGCGCCCGACTCTTCATTCTCTCCGCTTTCACCTGATCCAAAAATCGTATGGATTCAATTGAGTTCGAACCTTTTATTCTACGTTCTAATGGGTTATGAACTTAGTTACCTCTATTTTTCTCATCTCCGTCTCTGCTTTTCGCTTCTCTTTGTTTTCCCACGCTTCTATCTTCACTTCTTCCCGCTTAAATCTATGATTATTGGATTTATTGTACACAAAATTGAAAAATGCAAGGGTGGTAAATTTTAAAATGTTAATCATGTCAAATAACGTGACACGAATAAATGCGAGGTACATGAATGAACTAAAATTAAGTCTATGCTAACAAAGAGCACCTTCCTTTTCAGTAGCTTAGTCTCAGTCGTATGTAGTTAAACATGTTTTGTTTAGAGTAATCATATGTTGGGTGGCCTTTTAGAGAATTTTCAAAGAAACATGTGCGGAAGGAAAAACCATGTTGAAATGATGTTGTTGGTCTGTGGGATAGTTTTCACTCTTGGAAGCAAGAAGTTAGTAATATGATCATGTCATAGGATATGGAGGGAATACCAAGAAGGGTTGTAGGGATAATGATCATGTCGCAGTGGAGAAGGGGAATTGTCGGGAAGGGATATAGGGAAAATTTGATAATGTCACAATGGATGGAGGGAAATACCGAAAAGGGATATAGGAAAAATATGATCGTGTCATTGTGGATGGAGGGAAATACCGGGAATGATATAGAGAAAATATGATCATGTCACAGTGGATGGAGGGGAATACCGAGAAGGGATATAGGGAAATTATGATCATGTCACAATGGATGGAGGAGAATACCAGGAAGGGATATAGGGAAAATGACCATGTCACAGTGGATAGAGAGGAATATCGGGAAGGAATATAGGGAACATATGATCGGTCACAGTGGATGGAGGGGAATACCGGGAAGGAATATAGGAAAAATATGATCGTGGCGCAGTGGATGGAGGGGAATATCGAAAAGGATATAGGGAAAATATGATCATGTCACAGCGGATGGATGAGAAATACCGAGAAGAGATATAGGAAAAATATGATCGTGTCACAGTAGATGGAGGAGAATACTGGGAAGGGATATAGGAAAAAATAAGATCATGTCACATGGATGGAGGAGAATACCGGAAAAAAAATAGCAGTAGATTGATGGAAATATGGAAATATGGAAATATTAGGAAGGAATGTAAGAAGAGTAAGTAATATGACCGTATTGCACGGAATAAAAGAGAATATGAAGCTAAATAACTCTAGATTAGAAGGGGTAAAATAGTCAAAGGGACCCTTATAGCTTAATTTTTATTCCAATGCGATCTAAAATTTTATGGGCGAAAAGAAATGTGTGCAAAGCAAAGAGATTACCTAGCCATGTATTTGGCTCGTTCGGCTTCGTCCCAAGCCATTGCCCTAGTTTCTAGCGAGTTCATCTTCTTCGCTTGATCAGAATCCCGATTTTCCTCACCAACTCTTCCGCCATTTGATTCTTCACCACTCTGAATCGCGTTCGATTCTACTCCGACATCACTGGACTGAATCCTCGGCTGAAACCTTTCAGTACCTTGCTTCGCCCGATCGAACATCGCCGGAGTCAACGATCCAGACGACATAGGGCTTCGCGCGGTCGCCGTCGCCGTCGTGCCTCGAATCGGCGTCGCCGTTCTGGAAGGCTCTTGGCTAGCAATCGGAGTCATCTCCGTTCCCGTATCCCTCACGCATATTGACCTAACAGCCGCCGCTGGATTCTCTATCTGTTTCTCGATTCGCAAAATTGAATCGCGACAATCGACATTCTTCGTCTCTGCTTCAAATTGATTCTCATTTTGTTGTTGTTCTTCGTCGTCGTTGCTCGAGTAATCCTGCTCTTTTTGTGGTACATAAGCTATAAGCCTCAAATCGTCTGCGTTCGAGTTTCTCGGTGCGGTTTTCGATTGATTTTTTTCTCCGCCTTTCGAAAATCCTACAATCCATTTCTGCGCATCGTCCCATTTCGATGGCGTTGGTTTTCCTAACGCTGTGCGATGATGTGAACCTCGGTGCGGTTTTATTGGCTCGTGATTATAGCAGCCTTTATCCTCCACCGGCCTCATTGTTAAGCTTCTTCTAATCTACTAATCTTCTGAAGAACAATGAACATCAAAGGTAAGAACACAAAATCTGCACAGGTTCAGATCTATTGCTTAGATCCAAGTTGTCGTCCGCCATGGATCTCTGCTTTGAGATCCAAGTGAAGTGAACTTTGAGGACTAATGAAACAGAGTAAAAGGGCAGAGCATTAGATACAGAAAAGGAAGTGAAATTTGAAGCTTCATTAATGGAGTAAAGCTTCAAATGGCAAGAATGTCATGTGAGCTTGTATGGCTAAAGAAAGCAAATGGAAAGAGCTATTTGAGAACAACCATTGAAGTTTGGGAAGTTGCTGAGGTGAAGATGAAAATGGAGTTTTGAGATCCCCATTGGAGGAATTATAAAAATAAATGCATAGATCGACGCCTAATTCCGACCAATTACTTTGAAGATATGGTTAAAAAAACATTAAATAATCAAATATTTTGATGGGAATTGGAATCTTGTTGATTTGATATTGAAGTTTGGATCCCTAATCTGAATGACTTGAATAGGATTCATAATGTCGGGTTGCTCATTTTTTTTCTAATTATCTAATACGATTAGACTTATCTATCATGCACGTCAAACATTCACATGTCACAATGCATTATTAATGTATATCACAATCGTTAAAATTTATTAACTTTCACAGTAATATCAATAGATCTCAGGTCGATTGTGTTAGATGAAAGTGTCACACATTAATTAATTTAGGGAATAGTCATGAGTTTATAATCTAAGAATACACTCTTCATTGTATGAGACCTTTTGGGGAAGCCTAAAGCAAAGCATGAGAGCTTATGCTCAAAGTGGACAATATCATACCATTGTGGAGAGTCGTGTTCGTCTAACAGGTTGGAGAGGGAAACAAAACATTTTTTACAAGGGTATGGAGTATGCGTTTTAAAAACGTGGGGCTAACTGTGATACGTAATGGGTCAAAGAGAACAATATCTGCTACTGGTGGGCTTGAGCTGTTATGAATGGTATTAGACCTAGACAGCAGGTCGGTGTGCCTGCAAGGACATGGTATAAGAGTCAGACATTGGAGGTGGTGTGCAAGCAAGAACACTGGACTTCCACTAGTGGGCTTGAGCTATTACAAATGGTATCAAAACTGACACGAATGATACAAGAGTTGGACATTAGGGGCAGTGGGCATGATGACACTAGTCTTCCACTGGTGAGCTTGAGCTGTTACAAATTGTATCAAAGCCGACACGAGAACAATGTGACATTAAGCTATTACAAATGGTATCAAAGCCGACATGGAAACGATATGACGCCGAGGACGTCAAGACCGAAGAGAGTGAATTGTGAGATTGAACGATTACAAAATAAAAGTTGAATTGGGATCTCTAGTCTTCTAAACCTTTTGTATGAATATTGAATTGAAAGACGGTTGTCGTAACGGAGCAGAAGATTGGGATTACCGTGGACACGTGGACGGCAGAGGCTGGGAAACGTGTCAGTTACCCAGAAGAGCTGAGATTTTATAATGAGGTGGTGGGGACCTTTTCACGTGGCAATGTGGGCCAAATTTATGAGATCTGAACCGTACATTTCTTTTTGGATTAAGTAATTATTAAATTATTATTTGACGAGATCTTTGGCTGAAAAAGCGATGTCAAAGACGAGAATATCAACGAATCAAGTAGCGCCACGTGGATCGTGTTATTATCTAATTCGATTTGCAATCAAGGGAAATTGGGCCGGGCTATAAATGGGCCATATTGGTACTGGGCCTTGTCAGAAACGAAAAGCCCAAATAAGCATTGGATCGGACACAGTCCTCTAAACGGATTCGAACGACTTGTCGTTGAAGAACTACAACATAAAGCAACTTTTTTGCGTGACTGTTAATTGCTTGAACGTCGATGGCGATCTTCTGAGCTTATTCTCTGTTACAGCCATGGGGTTTTTAGGGTTTTTCAAGAGGTTTAATGGCCTCCGGAGATTTAATGCCTCACTTCGAGCAATACCACTTGGGTACGTTCAGAGCAGAGGCTTATCAAATTCCAAGCTTTTCCATGGCGGCGAAGAAACTGCGGTTCCGGTTTTAATTGTCGGTGCAGGACCTGTAGGCCTCGTCCTTGCTATTCTTCTCACGAAATTAGGTATTTCTAGTCCTTTCCTTGTTTTTCTCGATGATGAAAGAAATTGGGATTCTTACAATTTACATTTTACTAATTTGTGTTTGCTCTGTTATTCTGTGAAAATAAAACGAGGATAAATTCATTGTGGTTCACTGGAAGTGGAAACGAAATGAAAATTCAAGTTGGTATTAGAAATGCTATTATATAGATAGTTCTATAATAATTTTTATGCTAATTTCTTGTAGGGGTCAAGTGTGCAATTTTGGAGAAGAACACAAGTTTTTCTAATCATCCGCAAGCTCACTTCATAAATAACAGATCAATGGAGGTTGATTGAATTTCTATTTATGAAGATGCCACTTGATGTATGAGTTAAAGATTCGAAGTAATGTGTTTATGCAGAATTGATTGATAGGTATTTCGAAAATTGGATGGACTAGCAGAGGAGATACAATTATGCCAACCGCCTGTAGATTCATGGAGAAAGTTCTTATATTGTACTTCACTGAAGGGTACAATTCTCGGATCTGTGGACCATATGCAACCTCAAGGTATGACTAAGTTCGCGGTTACTTCACTTGCATGACTGTTAGAACACTGTGATAGTAATTCAAATAAACTTTATGGCTCAATTAATAATTTCACTGCTATTTGTACAATCTGATACTTTATACAAAAGTTACCATTAAGACACTCTATTCAATGTTTTATAGTTAGTTTGATAGTTTGGCTTTATAATGATCCTTCTTATGGATGTGGCAATAATGATTTTTCCTGCCTCTATGCAAATGAGTTCTGTAGTGATTTCAGAAGAGAAGAGGGTTATGTAATCTTGTTGGACACATGCGCTAAAGACTTCGGCAGTTTTTAGACTCATTGGATTTAGACTTTCCTATTTAGTGCTAACTTGTCATCGTAAATAGCTAGTGTAGATGTAAAATTGTATCTACTAGAAGTATCAGGCAAGGGAATTGGGTTCTTTAATCATGTTGGACATGTGCGCACTAAAGGCTTCAACAATTGTTAGCCTCATTGGAAGGCTTTCCTGTTTAGTGCTAATTTCTCATCATAAATAGCTAGTTTAGTACTAGAAGTATCAGGCATGGGACTTGGGTTCGTATAAGGCTGCTAACAAACTGAATTCAAAGTATCTTCTCCTTTTTTAAAGAACTTCTGCCTATGGTAGTAATGAAGAGACTCTTTCTCAATAGCATGAGCCACAATCAAAGGCACGCAAAAACTCATGTAAAACGGGGGGGAGCTTAAATGTTTGTGATATTGTTGAATAACTTTTTGGTTCTTTTTATTTATTTATTTATTATTATTATTATTTTAATCAAAAACAGATTTTGAGCACATTATCAGCCCGGTTTCTGTTGCACATTTCTCCCAATACAAATTAAACAGGTTACTACTTAAGCAACTTCAGAATCTTGGGTTTCAAGTCTGTTCACCAGATAGCTCGGAGGGCCCCTGTATAGTTAGAGAAAAGCAAATACTTATGGGGCATGAGTGTGTTTCTATTGGTGTCACTGATGACGCTGTGACCATGACTGCATCTTATCTCAAGGAAGGGAAGCATATCGAGAGGAGGAATATATGCAGTAATATCCTTGTTGGTGCAGACGGTGCTGGAAGTACTGTCCGGAGGCTTGTAGGCATAGAAATGAAGGGTGAAAAAAACTTACAAAAGCTTGTAAGCATCCATTTTTTTAGTAGAGAGCTTGGTGAATATCTGCTAACTGAGAGGCCTGGTATGCTATATTTCATCTTTAACATTGAAGCTATAGGGGTTCTTGTTGCTCATGATCTCAAGCAAGGGGAATTCATATTGCAGGTATTGCCATCATCTTGATAATGCTTACTCATGTGCATCTTAGACTTAAGCTATTATTTGTTATCCTGTAGGTACCATTCTATCCTCCTCAACAGAACATTGAAGATTTCTGTCCTAAGGTAATTTTATCCACCATCTTTGTGCTGAGTATGTTGAATATGAAAAAAAAAATGTTGGATTCAGTTCTAGCGAGTGAGATATGCTATTCAAGTTACATTGCATATCCCATTATATATGATTGCATTTTCAAACGATTAACCTGCAAAAGTAGTATGTATAAATGCAGATCATATTTTCTTTTTAAAGTACATGGATTCAATTTCTTGTAGATGTGTGAGGAGATTATCTTCAATTTGGTTGGTCTAAACCTCTGTGACGTAGACGTGCAAGATGTAAAACCTTGGATTATGCATGCTGAAGTCGCTGAGAAGTTCATAGCCTGTCAAAATCGTGTATTACTTGCTGGTGATGCTGCTCATCGATTTCCTCCAGCTGGTGGTTTTGGTTAGTATTAATGTTTTATGCTATAAGACTGTTTGTAATGATTTATAATGCTATCCGTTGTTTTGGATTATCATTTCCATTGTTAATATTATCTTGGTTAATTTATAAAAATAGACAGTTCAAGTTAATTGTCATAAATATCAAAACACACACATATATATGGCAGACTAGTCTTATTGTCTGTTTCTGACGTGGAATTAGTTTCAATTTTTCTTATTGTATTAGCTGGGGACAGATAGCTTGTTCTTCTAAAATGATCAGAGATTAAATTTTAAATATAAATTGTCTATGAAAAGTTCCAAAACAAAATTGAAGAATCTGTGTCATGCTTAGAACTTGAACACTTTGACCACATAATTTCGTTAAAAAATTAACAGAAAATGTTGGGACGTCCAAAAATTATTTTTGAAAAATTTGTTTACGTAAAGATTTGGGATTATATACATGTAATGTATCTTCATCCATTCATTTTATGAATAAAAATTGATAATTACAAAGTAAACTAAAGATCTCTCCGAGGACATAAGATTTTCTAACAGTGAAGTATGCTCAAGTCTTTTGAACAAAAAGGCTTGTATCTCCAACATTGGTCTCCTATCTCCTCTCCCCATCTCATTGGATTTTGTAAGGTGAAATCTATTTGTTCTCTTCAATTTATTAGTTCTTATTTATTTCTCAGTTTTTGATGTAAATTTTCTTTATCTTTTTTTTTTTTAAAAAAAAAAAAAAAAAAAATCTGTCTTCTCTACACTATGTTTCAGTCATACGGTGTTTCTCAATGTGTCTTGAATGTTTTAGAAATTTAAAAAGATAATAATCACTCTCCAAATGTGCTTGACATGCGTGTAAGTTGCTCTTGTTTGATACTTAGTACCAACATTATGCTCAAAATAGAGTGTCCAAGCTTCATAGACTGAATCAAGATCAGTCAAATAAAAGAAAAGAGAAAGTCAAATGCACATATTTTTTTAATGTATTTTTTATTGATTTAAAAAACGTAATGAAAACCAAAACTCAGAACGTTTTCATGCATGTTATGATGTTGATGTATGATTGATGCAGGAATGAATACTGGAATTCAAGACGTTCATAATCTTGCCTGGAAATTAGCTGCAGTGCTGCAGGATATTGCATCACCTTCAATATTGAATACTTATGAAATGGAGAGGAAGCCGGTAATCTTATAATCGTTTTTACTCTTTTTCTGTGATTGAATTTTGGTTGGAAAGTTGCCTGAGTAAAATATTGTCCACGTTGCACTGCTTGGCTGTTACAAACACGAATGCTAAAGGAAAGATGAGAACGACCATAAAATACCTTTACAAGAGAAAATTTAAACACCAAAATGGTGTCTCTCAAACAACCTTTAGTATTCAAGTTAGATCAAAACTTGAGTTGTCATATCTGAGTAGTAGAAAGGAAGTGTACCTCAATCATGTTCATCCAACCCCCTATTTAAAGAAGGGTAGTGATGGTACTTGTAGCTATTGGCAATCATTACTCGTGTTGAAGACACATTTCATCATCGAGCTAAACTCATGCTTTAAAGGAGAGCCTATTAAGCTCCTCACTTGGGTACAGGGAGCACCACATATGCGATGAGCTCTAACTTTATCAAGCTTGTTTTGCTTATCTTCTTTTACTATTCGCCGGGACGCATGCCTATTTGGTGAAGCTTAGTATGCTGACGGTATTATACTGTTCTATGGATGTCACCTGCCTTATTGGCATGGCCGCATGTGTGCTCATCCATTTATGCTTTGCTGAGGATGAGCCCGTACCTAGTCTAACTTGGTGTTCTCATCCCACCATGCTCTTGAACAACATTCTTTGCTGAGACAAGTGTGCTCATCCTGTTGTGTTGAGTTATATGAGTAAGTAATGGTCTCGATTCCTCCTTGTGGCATCATTGGCTATTGATACTTCGAAAATTTCACCTATAAAAGTAACTTCTTACACCTAACAGAGAGATCATCACCAGCTTCAGATTGCTCTTGAGGCAAACGTTATTGCATTCTGTCCAAGTATGGGCGGCCATGCCAAATTTGGTTCGGTCGTATATGTTGGAACTTTCTCCTACCGTGGGCTCAGTTTTTTAAGAAATATGTTTCACAATGCAAAGATGACACGTGATTGATTTTCTCAACAAATCTGAGTAGTTTAGTCAATTTCAATCAAACAACTGTGGAGTTGGGACTTTAGTATAAATATGTGGTCCTCTTCACTCCAATTAAGTCATTTGAGAATAGTGTTGAGAGATCCCACATTAGAGATTAGTTGGAGAGGGGAACAGAGCATTCCTCATAAGGGTATGGAAACCTCTTCCAAGTAGACGTGTTTTATAACCTTGAGGGGAAGTCCTTGAAGGAAAAGTCAAAAAGGGACAATATTTGCTAGTTGTGGGCTTGGGCTGTTACAAATGTAGGGTTTGGAGATTGTACACATACATTTAAGCCATATAGTCTTTCTTGTTTCTCCTTGGGCGGTGCCAACGTGAAGCGTGTCAGCTCAGGCAGCTTCCTAAATAAAATTCAGCAACAAGTTCTCTAATTGATTCTTGACCTCTACTGTCACTTCCTATTCAGATAGCACTACTCAATACAGCCCTTAGCGTTAAGAACTTCAAAGCAGCCATGGAAGTACCTGCGGCTCTAGGTCTGGATCCAAAAATTGCAAACTCTGGTAAGTAGAAAGCTTCATCTTCATCTAATTTTAATGTCACTTCTGTAAAACACTCTCAACTTATCTTTACCATATTGGTTGTAGCATCTAAGCCTTTTTCAATACAGAGAATAACTTCCTTTTTCCTTAACTTGGCAGTGCACCAAGCAGTTAACCATGGCCTTGGTTCTGTTTTATCATCCTCACTACAGAGAACAGTTCTGGATGGAATTTTTAAGATAGGTCGTTTGCAGCTCTCAGATACTCTTCTGAATGAAAAAAACCCGGTTGGATCTTCAAGGCTTGCAAAACTAAGTCACATATTTGATGAAGGGAAGAGCCTTCAACTTCAGTTCCCTGCAGAGGATCTTGGTTTCAGGTATAGCATATATTCAAACTCAATGCATGAGCCAATTTTACCCATTTGATAATCGTTTGGCTTTTAAAAATGAAGGTCGTAAACACTATTTTCAACTATGAGTTTCTTTCTTTTATTACGTACTTTTCAAATCATTTTCAAAATCCAATCCAAAACTCGAAAGCTATAATTTTTTTTTTTTTTTTTTTTTGTTTTTGGAATTTGGCTAATCATTCGAACCTTCTTTTAAGTTTGAAAACCATTAGTAAAGGTGAGAAAACATACACAATTTTCAAAAATGGAAAACAAAAAATGAAATAGTTAAAAGATGGAGCATTAGATGTTCGTTTCCCTCCAGCATTTCCTAGTTTAGCAACGGGTGCATCGAACTATAAACGAAAGAAAAGCTCCTTCAGTGTGGCATCTGGTTTAATGATGGCTTAATTATATTCAATTCAATCATATCCATGGAATTAGGTACTCTGAAGGGGCACTTATTCCGGACAATAATCAACTTGGTGGTCGAGAAGAGCCTACAGGTCGTCGGAGAAGGTACATCCCTTCTGCAGACCCAGGATCAAAGCTGCCTCATATGAATGTGAGGGCATTGGCCAGTATGGTACGATGTTCGTTCCCATTTCCCCCTCATACTTTCTTCTGTATCAGAATTGACCAACTGTAGTCAGTCTTCTTAAATGAAGCTTTCGTGCATACTAAATGGCCATCTAAATATAAAAAACAGTTAAATTACAAATTTGGACCCTATTGTTCTAAGAAAGTTAGAGTTTAGTCCGGTTTGATTCTAAAAAATAGTCCCTTATTATTTTCTTGTAGCAGAAAGATTTAATGTATAGGACGTGATCAAATCTCGTCTTATATCTTATCGTATTCAATGTATGCATTCATTTTTATATTATTGATTTACTTTGTTTTTTTTGCTAACAACGTTTTTAAATATATCAATTTTATATATCGAAATGAACGATTCAATCATTTATTGTCAAAAAGAATAGTCACCGAATGTTTTTAGGGGAATTCTAACTTAGGAATTTTCTTTATTTCCATCCTTCCCTTGGCTTCAAACATCATTTAGTGAACTAAATGATCTCTCCTCTTAAGAGTCGTTTTTGCTGCATTGCTTGACAATTGCTGTTGCTAGATAGTTGAGTGGTTTTCTCATTTGGTCAACTAAACTGGAAATGGGTTTATGCAGGAGGTGATTTCTACTCTTGATCTTGTATCCGGAGATAAAGTCGAATTCCTTCTCATAATAGCACCACTACCGGAGTTTTACCGTCTTGCTCGTGCAGCTCTCATGGTAGCAGAGGAATTCAAAACTTCTGTTAGGGTATGCATTTTATGGTCTGCTGATATAACCAGGATTGAATCAAGCAGCAAGGAAGAACTAGCACCATGGGAGAACTACATTGATGTTCAAGAAATTCGGCAACCATCCACTTCAACAGCATCATGGTGGGATGTCTGTCAGATGACTGACAAGGGAGCGATCCTAGTTCGGCCCGACGAGCATGTTGCTTGGAGGGTGAAGTCTGGTGTTTCTGGTGATCCAAACACAGAACTGAGAAGAGTTTTTACTTCTCTGTTGAAGTGATGATTTTCTATTCTTATGAGGCATTACTTTGTTGTCTCTCACAACGTGATTGGTTTTAAGTCTATATAGGAAGTGCAGTATTACTTGCCATTGGCGAATAATTTTATTGGGAACTTGGGGCACATTACAGAACGAAATGTACTTCCAGAGGAATTCAACATTATACCATTCCAACTTCAAAATAAAGATTCTTACTTTCACAGAAGAATTAGATTTGATATTTGTTCATACACGTTCTATTATTATGAATATGTGCTCAGATGTTTGAAATCTCACTCACACATATTGCACTCTGGGGGACGAATATATGGTCACCTGTACATTTTCTTTTCCAATAATAGAAGGCAAATTCCCGTTGCGTTGCACAAGATGGTGCTGTTTCACTTCGAGTACCTTCATGTTTAGTCAAGTTTCTTCTATTTAATTCAAATTGCAACATTTTCAAGTCGAAAAGGTAGGTTTAGTTCAAGGGTGGAGCTGTGTTTGGAGAATCTTCCAACATGGTGCTAAACATATAAAAGTTCGATATCCTAATAAAGTACAATAAGATATGAACAATGACTGAGATAATCAGGAGTTTTTATCAATAAAGAAGTAATAACTTAGTCAGATGAGCCTCAGAAGTATTGCCTTCGCCCTTTTATCCAAAACCAGATGAATCAAAATTGACTGGAAGCAAGTGCTACTAGAGCTACCTAATAAAACAAAAAAGATGCTAAGAACTATATGTTTGTGTTCTGATTCACTGCAAGTGTTGCTGCAGCTTTTGTTGGTCCAATGGACTAAATACAGCAATCAATCAAACAATTATTATCAAATATCTTACTGATCAGAGCTTTATGTGCAGAAGACCGTATTCACAAGAATAATTTGACACTGAAGTTTCCACCAACCAGCCTTCATTAATGACAAGATTTGAGCTACCGACTGGTTACGGCTTCATCTATTTCATCATCATAATGTTCAAGACTTAGTTATTATGATTATCAAATGGCCAATAGAAGAGGTGATAATACCAAGTAAGCCTCCAGCTAAAACCTGTAATCAAGTAAAAAGAAAGGCCTCAATTCTCTTTTGGAATCCTGACTTCTCTTCTCTAGTAGATGGCATAAAAGAGCTACAAATGAATATCCCTCAAGTGTCTTATTCGCTCTTTGAAACCTCCCCAGCCAAAAAACACAAAAAAAGTGCCAAGAAATTGCTAAGCATTCGTGAAGCCAGTTATTCAAAGGGCAACCCACAATGTCTATATCATCTCCAGTTCAGCATTATACCAAAGATGATAGTAAAAAGACAATGATTAGCCAAGCAGCAAGTCTTTCAACATCTGTCTTATCATTACTCCAGGTTTATCAAGTTTTACTAATCTTTAACGGGCACATGAAGGTCATGGAAGCCAGAATTTGCAGTAGAATAACAATTTTCCATTTTATCTCAAAGTTGGTCATAACCTACGTAGCCTACTTAATGTCGAGGATTGTTGGGGGAGAGTCTCACATTGGCTAATTAAGGGGATGACCATGAGTTTATAAGTAAGGAATACATCTTTATTGGTATGAGGTTTTTTGGGGAAACAAAAAACAAAGCTGTGAGAGCTTTTATTCAAAGTAGACAATATCATACCATTGTGGAGGTCGTGATTCCTAACATGGTATCAGAACCATGCCCGCAACTTAGTCATGTCAATAGAATCCTCAAGTGTCGAACAAAGAAGTTGTGAGTCTCGACTGTGTGGTCAAGAGTGACTCAAGTGTTGAACAAAAAGTGTACTTTATTTGAGGGCTCCAGAGAAGGAGTCGAGCCTCAATTAAGGGGAGGATATTCAAGGGCTCCATAAGTCTTAGGGGAGGCTCTATGGTGTACTTTGTTCAAGGGGAGGATTGTTGAGAATAGTTGGGAGAGAGTCCCACGTTGGCCAATTAAGGGAATGATCACAAGTTTATTACAAGTAAGGAATGCATCTCCATTTGTATGAGGCCTTTTGGAGAAACAAAAAACAAAGCCGTAAGAGCTTACGCTCAAAGTGGACAATATCATACCATTGTGAAAGCAGTGATTCCTAACCCTCAATACAATATTAACAAATTGATTAACGTGTCAATTTCATAGACAAGAATCTCCTAATAGACTGCACAATGTCATCTTACCTGGGGAGGGGTGTGACCAAGAAGTTCTCGCAGTGGTCTGCTCTCAGCCAAAGGATGTTCAGCAGGAAGCTCGTATACAATTTGATTCAAAACCTACAAAATCAAACAGTCAAGGAAAAAAGGATAAGCTTAAAGATACAAAAACAATACCCAAATGAGAGAAATTAAGGACTAAAAAGGAAAAGGAGGAAGGGAGGAAGGGTTGAACAAGGAAGCACAGATGAACCATAGAACCTCTGCTTGGCGCCCAGCTTGTAATCTTACACCAGTTGCATCGTACATTACCTGCCACCAAATTCTCAATGTCATACATCCTTAAAAAGGTTCCAAGATCTTTACAATTTTACTCAAAATGGTATCGAAAAATGAACAGGGAAACCATACAACACAGGCTAAGATCAATGTAACAGCAAAAACTGAAGCTCCAAAGCCTTCTTGGAGGCCAATGGCTACAGCAAGAGCAGAAACAGTTGAAGAATGAGACGAAGGCATTCCACCAGATCCAACTAGTCTCTTAAAATCCCATCGCCTTTCCTTATACCTGCAATGTTACAAGAGCTTAAAAGACCATAAATTAAAGTCTTGAACAAGAAAAAGGAATCCAAAACCAATAAAAGCTTCTTTAAAGAGCTTGTTGATAAAGCTATAAACAAAACACTTTTTCTGATTAGGACGACGGAGGGAGAACAGATCACAGAATCCTATGGTAGATGCCAGAACAGTACACGAACGACTCATAATTAGACGAGCTACACAAATTTAAAGAAACCTAATATTATCTCAGAACAATTGTTTTCGTCATATAGGGTTTGCAATATCAAGCCTCAACGCGACAAACACAGCCAGTAAGAAAGCTCATACGTAATGGGTGAAAACCAAGAATTGGATCGGATCCGAGTAGCACGATTATAAAGGAAAGTTGAAGAAGAATACCAAGTAGTGAAGAACTTGATGGACTGGGCGATTGCGAAGGCAACGAGAGCAGAAATGATGGGGAAATTCATGAGAATGGTTGAGGAAAAGGGAAGATCGGGGCGTTGGAGTCGAAAAATTGTTGGGATTATGAAGAGAACATTCAAAATATGGGATTGGAGAAACGAAATCAATGAGAAAGAGGGAAGCTTTGATGTTATGCGGAGAGGTGGTTAGTTGGTGAAGGAGGCAAAACGGAGGGAAAGGGACAGCTTCGGTTCCATAGCCTGATTTCTTCTCTATGTTCTTATTCTTCAATTAAACCAACGCTTTTTTTTTTTTTTTTTTTTTTTTCTCTCTCTTTCTTCCAATTTCCAATTGGATCTCTACAAACTGAATTATTGACTCAATATTCTGTTTCTAAGAATATACTTTTTTTTTTAACCCATAATTTTTATTCAAATTAACTTTAATTAAATTATAACTTTTTCGAGACATTTTAAGTTTTGGCTACTATTCGAATAAGAGATTTTTCTTTTTATATTTATGAATTGTATTTATTATGCATTTAAAATTAAGGGTGTTCGTGCATCATTGTGGTTATTTCATATCCTCATTTTTCTTTTCATATTATTTTGCTTACTAGTTGCTGTAGCATTATAAACATTATTATTACACTTACTCTCGTTGGTATAAATCTGACCCCTTCTCCTATTCTCATCTACCACCTACGTATATGGGATATTTTATGAAGTTTTCTCAGTCGCAAGGTCTGGGAAAAGAATAGGAAAAATGATTTCACTGTATTTCTGACAAAGGGTTGAGTTAGATTGAGTTTGAACATTTTTTAGACTCAATTCTGTTATTGAAATGAACATCCATGAAATTTTTATTTATTTGAATCCGACCCAAACAATAGGAATTGATTTCAATTGATGGGTGTTTTTGGGTCATCGAGATTTTTAGACACACCTATTTAAAATATTTTTTTGTAAACACCGTCAAATAAAACAAACAAATTAACATAACCCATAAATATATTTTTTCTAACTTGAACCAAACTCATATTAATCGAGGCATATATTATATTATTAACGAAAAGATTAAAAGTTTAAATTTTTGATGCTCGACCAAAAAAATAATTTATTTTAAAATTAAAAAAAAAAAAGAAAAAAAAAAAAGAGGTGAGCGGATTCAAATGTAGAGTAATCTAATCCTTTTAAGGTTGAAAAGTTTAAAACCCCAAATTCTTTGAACTAAACGAAAACAAGATTCTCGAATGTTCCATGCCCTCAATAAAAAAATAAAAAAAAAAAGATTATAAAATAATAATAATAATTCCTAGTTTTCTTTTTGTTACTTCACTTACTTGTGGTATAAGTTACATTAGTTGCAGGAAGTACAGATGAACAAGGCAAATGGGCCTTGGTAATCAATAAATCTGTACAAAAACCAACAGAAAACTTGATGAACTCCATCCCTTGTGATTCCAATATGTTCTCCTGCAAACAAAAATTAATTCACAGCTGACAGAGCGTTAAGAGAAATCTATGAAAGTCTCTGTCAGTGACTCAGTTAATCTACCTTTCTTGAAATCGATCTTGTTTGTCCTCGTGAACTTAGGCTCGGCGGACAACAAAATGGACCATCTGCTTCTTAACTACTCAAGCGGTAATCATGGCAATGGTCGATTGATGAGAATGAGATGACCAAGTTTTCAATCACCCAACTGCTATGCCTGTGGATCTAGATGCTCAACAACAGTTTTGAAAAAGATCTATCTGTTCATGTATAGCTAGGACGCGACGTCCTTCCCGACAAAATTTAAGAGCTCTAACGTAGCTGCTTCCATTATTACAGAGAAATCGACCTGTGTATACCTACCCCTGTCATCCCAAATGCTTACAATCAGATTGGTTGCTTATATTTCAGGCAAAATATGATTTTTCAATGTTTTACTAAGGCGACAGACTTTCTTTCTTCCTACAAGTTTAGACAAATTCATATTTGGCACGGTGAGAGTGATCTAAAGGTGGTTCGTCATCAAGTATTTTCTAATGGTGATGTAAGGGAATTTGATTGAAACTAAAAGGAAATTTGGTTACCAGAAATGAGTTCTTGACCATATTGTTGAAGGATAAGCGGGGCTCGAAATGCCATGCATAATCCTTGCAACGGCCCTGGGAGTGAACTTAGCCTGTGAGTTACTCTGCAAAAAGACCTGTTACAGCAAAGAGTAGAAGCTTTTTTCAGCATAGCTGAGCATTGACCCGTTGAAAATGAACTCGTTAAGCATTTTTAGCCCTCACTTTTATATCTGCTCGGAGGAACGGGCTGCACGTGAATAATATTGATGTTAGAACAATTATATACCTCATGTACGTAGTAAACGAATAAGAACAAGAATTAATAGTATTGCATGAATAATCTACTTATGAGATCCCACGTTGGTTGGGGAGAAAACGGAACATTCTTTATAAGGATGTGGAAACCTCTCCCTAGCATACGCATTTTAAAAACCTTAGGGGGAAGCCTGAAAGAGAAAGCCCAAAGGGGTGGATTGAGGAGGCCGCACATGAATAATTCAGAGCTAGACACCAAGCGATGTGCTAGCGAGGAGGCAAAGCCCCGAAGGAGGTGGATTGAGGGGTACCACATTGATTGGAGAAAGGAACAAGTACCAGCGAGGCTGCTGGGCCCTGAAGAAGGGTGGATTATGAAATCTCATCGGTTGGGGAGGAGAACGAAACATTCTTTATAAAGGTGTGGAAACCTCTCCCTAACAGACACATTTTAAAAACTTTGAAGGGAAGCTCAAAAGGAAAAGCTCAAAGAAGATAATATTTACTAGTAGTGGGCTTAGGCCGTTACACTCTTTGCATATCAGAAATATATACAGAAATAGTGACTGTACATACCTGCTCTGGTTCATTTTATTTGGAATATCATAATTATCACCCTCCTGGAAATAAGAACAAATCTTTCCTTCTAAGCATGGTGTTTGCTCATAGTTAAAGCAGCCCTGAGTCTTCTTTTCACACAAATTCACAGCGGAAGTCACCGCATCAAACATGGCGTCCAGTTTCCTAACCTGAAAACAAAAACAACCCCTAGACATGTAGGCTTGATTTAAAGAAAAACATAAAACATCCTCCCAAATGTCGATCTACGAGGGGACACACTCACGAGTAGATGAGCTAGCTTGCACGTAAATTACGCAGTCAGAACAACAGAGCTTTGGCCCAAAGGTGTTGAAAATGGAAGGTAACAACAATATATCTTAACAAAAAATTTGGTGCTTTGGGTGAATAAATACAAATCAGCAGACGTAATGAACCAATTCTTTCAAGTTTTTTTGAATGAAAATAGGTGCAAGTGAATCAAAACTTTAGTGGATGAGAAGTATTGATCAAAAAAAGGCTCCACAATTACAAGTTTTGTGGTGGTATCACGGCCATCTATTATGGTATTATGTAGGGGAATTGCTTTCTATGCTGCCTACGGAAACATGATCAACATGCTAACCTCCAAAATAGACTCACATAAATAGATTAAAAAATGCATAGCAAAGTCAGAATCAACAACCTTACTAGTCTGAATCTCGGATAACCATTTTCTAAGATGTGCTGACAGAGAACAAAAATCTTCAGGATATTTCAAAATTGTATAACAGTATGCCAGATCCTTCATTTCGTATGTGATTTCTCCCTTCAACTAAAAGAGTATAAGAAAGAAACTTTGTTACATAAAAGAAATAGAGGATAGTAGAGACAAAACTACAAAAGCCAAAGAATATAACACATGATATAACTTCTCAATAACTTTTTAAATCGCTCGACATATTGCCAAAAATCTTCTCTAGGATTATTGAAACCAAAGTTGCATGCTGCATCTGTTTAAAATCGATGAACAATTAGTCCAACGTCTTTCTAAATTATATTCATGCATGCAACTGCATAGATAAAATTGAAAAAGGGCCTATTTTACATGCATTCACTCATCTTCAATTCTTCAAATTGAATATTTATGCATTATTCGAAGTTGATAAATGCTGATACATTGAGTAGTTGAGAGTAATTAAATTTTAAAATGCAAGGTTATATTGGAATAAAGCTTGACCAATGACTGTTGTAAATATGGAATGAAAAGAAAATAAAGGAGATGTTGAGCTTTCCATTTAAAACCATCCGAACCTTAAGATTTTGCAAATGATTTGAGAGACTGGTAGATGATATCCCAATGCTATTGACCACCGTGAGCATGTCAAAAACATGCTGCCCCTGCTTAGTTTCAGACCTAAAGTTCCCAAGTTTAATAGCCTGATCCGAAAAGCAATTTTTTCTCCCAATAGTGCATAGTATTAGATTGGTCGAGATCAAAACTAGGTACTCACTTCTTCAAAATTTCAGCAACAATGATATCTTTGTCAGCAAGCACCGCTGGTGAAGTCTGCGCCAAACACAGAATACGCAAAAGCATCAAGCACCGAGAAACAAACCTATCCTAACCCTTTCCCCCTTTTTTCCCCAAGGAACCCTTTCTCCAAATATTGACTGCACCATATTATGAACATTACATTTTTCAAATGCATGACACAAGTAGATGGATCAATATATGCTGAGATACTGAACATATGTCAGGAATGATACCATTAATTTAGTTAAAAAGTTTTTAGAACTGTAATAGCCATAGTCATGAAGCAATCAAAATTTAATTAAGCTTTCATAGTCAGAAAGTGAGAGAGAAAAGAACCATTGAAGATCAACCTTATGAAAATTCAAAGTGCAAGTCACATTTAACTGAGGAAGTAAGCGCAAATATTGCATTTCTCCGAGCTCCAAGTATGTTAGAATTGTAATCATCACCTGTCGGAGATCAAACCAAGTGAGAAAACAACTTCTCCTAAAAAAAATAATGGAGAAGTTCGGTAAGGAGGTTCCATTTTCACTAAAAAAAATTCCAGCAGTTAAAAGATCTCCATGGCTTCTATATTTACATCATCATTATATTACTTGATAAATTTCTAAAGCAAAGAACATGTGGAAGAATATGTAGGGATGAAAAAGTTGCATACAAGGACTTAATACACGGTAATGGAAGAACAGTAGAGTGATTTAAGTTGAGATGGCTTCTAACTTTTCAAAAAGTTTATATGTTTTGCTCACCAACTAAAACTCTGACTTGAATTACGCATAAGAATCTACTTCTAGAATGTAGTTGCTTTTCAGCATCCTACAACTTGCTTTGGTTCCTTAAGTTGATGGGAGAGTTAGAATCCTTCCCGCAAAAGAATTGGCGTGGTTCTACTCCCTTTCTTGATTTTTTTTTCTCTTAATTGAGCCATGTTTCTCCAAATGGTAAGTAGTGCTGTTACATCAATTCTTCCTTACAGATTAGTGGAGTTTCTAACTAACAAAAGATTTCCATGATGCTAGACTTTCCTAATACTTAATTTGCAAACACCACAGCCAATGCATATTCATTTGAAATTGTGACTAACTCCTATATCGATAATAACAGTTAAGTTTGTCACCTCAATGCTCTAAAGAAAATAAAATAGATAGTTGCAAAAACAGTGGAAGAAAGTGACCTCTTCCTTCATATCAAATTTACGAGATGCAGGATCTTTGACCATTGAATACACTTTTCCACACGAATTGTTATTTTCAGAGAACACTTCACTGATGAATTTGTTTATATTGTATTCATCAACTCCATCACTGTTCATACAATACTTCAAATCAGTTCCAGAATATATAATCCTTGAATAGCTAACAAAACGAGAAATTTTATATCACATGACCTGTGCATAAGACTTCGAAGCTTGAAATATGTGTCATTGTCAAGAAATAGATGACAGTAGGATAATCTACCATCACGGCCGGCACGCCCTATCTCCTGCAATAAGTGTACTATTAATCTATATAGAATGCTCATAACATACATGTCATATTAGAAAATGAACAATATTAGAAGAAGCTACCGACTTGGATATATTCCTCCAAGCTTTCCGGCATGCTATAATGGATTACCTGAAACAATTTAACTTTACTTTTTTACTGTTTAGATATCATCGTTCATATAGTACAAATACTACAAAACCAATAAAGGCTAAATTTGTGCCTTGAACATTTATCTCATGTACAATGTGGTCCATCTAAGATTTCACGTTATTGTAATCCTCCACAGCTAACTATTAATTGCTTACATGCACAAGGATGGGGCATTGGTGTATTCAACTGACTTCAAAATCAGATCACGCGCTCCTTTTTGGGACAAATAAAAAACCAAGCACGTGCTTTTTTTTTTAAAAAAAAAAACTGACATTCCTGACATGGAGCATCTTTAGAGAGATGAGCTGATCCGATACAGAAAGATGTTCATACTACTCTTTCATTGCTAGTCAACCACTTCAATAAATCAGGAATATCCTCACACTGTATGCAGTTATAATAAGGAAAAAAACAATTTGAAAATGCTCTCTAGATTCTTACTGCGCCAACGTCCCTCTTGTTAAGTCCCATGCCGAAAGCCACAGTAGCAACAACCTTTAGAAAAAGTGTCAGTCAATGCATTGAGAGAGGAAATAATTACTCATAACATTTATATACATACATTCACATAAATAATAGAAGAATATGGTATCTCACCACTCTAATCTTGTTTGAACAAAAATTCTCCTGTATGTGTTTGCGATCTTTAGCAGGAAGACCACTGTGATAACTCTAATTAGCAAAATAGGAAGCAACCTATCAGATTAACTTTTCAAATACCCCAAAAAGGTAATAGTAGTTGTTATTCATAAACTAGCTAAGATGCAGAAGTAACCTTTGCAGAGATGCCATTATCACACAAGTATCTGCTTACCGAGTCAGTTTCCAACTGCAGCATCAGAGAAGAGAAGCAATCATGGCTAACTAAAAGTTAAAAAATTTATCTAGACGATTAATGAAAATTGAGAAACAAAATCAGGTCACTGTGCAAAATGATGAACAGACAACTACAGATCAGCTAGGGGTTCAACCAAACTTTCCTCTGCAAAAATACTAAGTTACTTAGGAAGAGAACTTTTGAAGCCACCGCACAACGAAACAGTTCAAAGTTAATGAAAAAATTGGCCCATTCAGAGAATGAAATAAATGGGAAAAGACATAATAATGTTTAGTTGAGCGTTTCATTCCACACTCACTCAAAAGACAGCTACAGACCTAGAGGGTGAGCTTAAGCTGCATTCAAACTTCTATGTATTATGATAATAAATTACTGACAGAAACAAACCTGAAACTTGCAGTAGATAATAATGCTCCGAACTTCAGCTATGGGAGAAGACTTGATTAGCTTAAGTAGATCTTTCACTCTTATTTTCAGCACATCATCAAATCAAATTGAAACATTGGAAGTGTTAATTAAAAGGATCCATCTGATAAAATTAAAGTGGTTAAGAAGGAGAAAAATCAACTCTCAAGATTTAATACTTGCCTATTTGTACTCATTGATACTGACAATTGTAGATTTGTCCTTACTGTAGTTTTCAGAATGAGATTATCTGAAGGAATTTCTAACGCAGTCATAATTGCTTGCATAGTTGAAGTAGTTGCCGTTGCAGTCATTGCAAGAATGCAGTTAATGTTGAGTTGAGCTCGAAGTAGAGATGCTCTAAGCCTCATATATGAAGGTCGAAAATTGTGTGACCTGGTCATATCAAATTGAATAACTTAGACTATTTCATTCATGCCATAGCAAATGCTGAAAGCCAGAGGTCTCATAAGTGGAGTGTCTAAATAAGAAAATGATGCCGATCACGGTTCAAATAGGGAATCAACTTGCCATTCAGATATGCAGTGAGCTTCATCCACCACAAGAAGCGATACCACTAAGCCACTAGAAAACATTGACAAAAAATCTGGGTTCTGAAACCTTTCAGGTGAAACAAAGAGCACCTGAAAATACATATAAGAACTTAACCACGCAATAACTGATGACATTTTAACTATAAAGGATTCTTGGGAGGGAGTCCCACGTTGGCTAATTTAGGGAATGATCATGGGTTTATAAGTAAGAAATACATCTCCATTGGTACGAGACCTTTTGGGGAAGCCCAAAGCAAAGTTATGAGAGCTTATGCTCAAAATGGACAATATCATACCATTATGGAGAGAGAGTTGTGATTTCTAACACTCATCCAAATAATACTTGTAACATTTAAATGCAAGATAACGAATCAATGCAGCTGTTCTCACGATTATGTTTTGCAACAGAGAGAGAAAAGATTGGGAATTTTCCCATTCATGTACCTTCATCGACCCTTGGATAAGCAGCCTCACTATTTCAGATACTTCATCAGGTCTCTACAAATACAAAGGAATGATCAAGTAAAGTTTCTCACTCTTTCACACTGTCATCATACAAAAGCAAAAACGTTTAAAAAGCTTGATAGAGAAATTGAGCAGCGACTACCTGACTGCTGCATAATAAACCACCCTGAATTACAGGCGGCAATTGTTTTATCTGATCTATCATCAATGCCACCAAAGGACTAACAACAACAGTTATCCCAGGTAGAACCATTGCTGGCATTTGATAACAAATTGATTTACCGGCACCGGTGGGCAAAACAACCATCGTTGATTTCCCGGCCAGCACCATTTTGATAGTCTCTAACTGCCCTTCTTGGAAAGAATCGTATCCATAAGCTAACTTCAACAACTCTACCAAGTTATCATCAGATGGGTCATTTCGCACATTGGATATAGTCTCTTCAATGGAAACGGGATCAAATTTCGCTCCTCCATTGCCCTGCTTCTGTGGATGTTGCGTTGTTTCTGTAACCAAACCATCTTCATCGAAGAAACTAGCCGTCTCGTGGCAATCTCCATTTTTCAAGTTCATCTTAGTCCTTCTATGGGACCGGTAACTACTCCTCTCGCCATACTTTCTCCGGTTGAATTTCTTAATAAACTTTCGCTTCCTACCATTCAAGTTAAGTTTCACAAAGTTGCCTTCACCTCCACATTTGCGCACTTTGACTGGCGGAGCAGGAACGTGGGCTCCAATCAAGTTAGGATATTTCCTAACGAGTTTCACCGGATTCCCGGGACTAAACAAATTATCTTTTGATCCCCAATCAGCCGTTGAACAACTAGCGACCTCAGTCTCAGCATTGTTCTGCTGGCTCGGCTCCGATAAAGACGGATTTTCCTCGGAAGTCTCAAAATTAAGACAGGATCCACGGAATTTCAAGAACGATGATGATTTTGAAAAGAACCCGGCTGGAAGCATCTCGATAGATTCGGAGGACGAAATTCCACGACTCTGATCCGAAGCCCGACGGATATGATATGGCAGAGTTGGAAGGGGAGTCCAGTCGGGAAGCGATTCTTCCTCGGAGGGTTTCGTATCAGGCGGTGGAGAAGGTTTAGCAACTCTGGAGGAGTGCTTTCCAGGTTTCGACCTGGTACGCGCCAGAGAAGAAGTGGCTTTACTGAACTTACACTTGGCATTGGAAGCTGACGTGAACGGAGTAACTGAAGAAGACGGCGGCGGCTTTGAATTTCTGGGAGGAGTGGCGGAGATGTGAGAAGCATCTGAATCTGAGTCTGAATCGGAATTCATGTTGTGTGAATGGCGACGGGAAATTGGAGGGAGAGCAACGGATGAAGAAGTGTCGAAGGTTTCTTAGTTTGCCCGATATCAGTTTTCCCGCCAAATGCTATTGTATCTTCATTGGGCCGGCCCATCTTTTCGTGCTTCAACTTCGGGCCCAGGCCCACCTTTTCGTGCTTCAACTTCGGGCCCAGGCCCACTATGGTTTAAAAAAACACGAGATCATATTTGGGATAACCATACAAGTTTCTTAAATTTTTTATTTTTTATTGCTCTAGCGTTCTTTAAAATTTTATAGATCTAGTAGAGTATTTTTTAGGCATAAAATTCAATTATATAACGAACAAATGTTGTTTCAAGATTATCTCACTCGTTCATGACAGTCCCATCGTCTTCATGGCCATCGCTCCAATTCTTCAAGCCCCTAACGTGGGCGATTTCGCCACTTTCAACACGGGTTCCTTGTTCTTAAGTACAACGTATAGCTTATTTCTTGATGGATCTTTTTCATTACGTCCCATTTTATCCACATAACTTCATTTCTTTTGCTTTTGGTGCTTGCGGAGTCGAGCAGTGGGTGTTTGGACTCTCTTTGAAATTGTCAATATAAATATAATTGACTAATATGATGCAATTCGAATGAAAAAAAAAAAGTCTAGTTCGTTGAAAGATCTATTTTGTAATAACCCAAACCCACCACTAGCAAATATTGTCCTTCTTAGGCTTTCCCTTATGGGCTTCCCTTAAGACTTTAAAACGCATATGCTAGGGGAAGGGTTCCACACCCTTATAAAGAGTGTTTTGTTTTCCTCCCTAACCAATGTGAGACATCACAATTCACCCCCCTTCGAAGCCCAGCATCCTCGCTGGCACTCATTCCTTTCTCCAATCGATGTGGAACCCCCACCAAATCCACCCCTTTGGGGCCCAACGTCCTTACTAGCATACTGCCTTGTGTCTATCCCCTTCAGGGAACAGCGAGAATGTTAGCATATCATCTAGTGTCTTGCTCTAATACCATTTGTAACGACTCAAGTCCATCACTAACAAATATTGTCTTCTTTGAGCTTTCTCTTACGGGCTTCCCCTCAAGGCTTTAAAATGTGTGCTTGGGAAAGGTTTCTACACCTTTATAAAAAAATGTTTTGTTCTCCTTTCCAACCAATGTGGAACATCACATATCTCATGCTTGGTACTGCACGGTTCCATCTACAAAAACTCCGAATCATTCTGCATGTTACAAAAGGGTAGCAGCCTGCACTAAGTTTCAGAACTTTGTGCCTTGTGGCTCCTTATTTCAATACGTTTTACAGCATTCTAAGAGGGGGCAAGATGGGAGAATTTTGATGTTGGCAGTGCGGCTGAGCTGAGAATTTGATTCCCAAGTGGGCTTGGATTTCATGGATGGGTGTAATTGTAACTGCCATTTTTGTTTGTATCAGTGTAGAAAGCATGGGAAAGCAATGTGAATATATTTTAGATGGGAAGGTGGATGATTTCTAGTAATGACTCTTAATTCTTTCTAAGTTTGTTCTTTCTTTCTCTGTCTTCTAGTATTACAATTCCAACACGAGCAAAGATACAGATTTACGATCAATGAAATAGCACTAAAGCATGAAAAATACACGCTCTGCTCCCCTCTTTCACAACGAATTCTGATTCATGGTTTCTCTTGGCTATATGGTTCATCCGGGAGAGAGATCGAAAGAAACGATTGCTTAATTACAGTATTGATTTCGGACTCGAACTGAGATGCTCTAGCACTGCTTCCTTAGAGTATAGAGTCTATAATATATCTTAGTACAACCAATCGTAGTTTACCTGTAATTTAAGCGCCGTGTTGAAATTGAAACCGGACGAGATTTGCATGGAACAGAGCAGGTAAGTCGTTAGGTCCACTGTTCATATGCTGACAACTGCAGCGTTTAACTTGTCAGGCGTACCGAAGTATTTAAGCTCTACAAAAGTACCTCCTCCTTCACCCTTGGCCAATCTTCCTGGATTCACACACACGCAGTTCGCTCGCTCTTCATCCGCACGTCCCTCACCAAGAGATATAACCTAACAGATGGGAAGTCATTGAAGCTCTTAATAATATGTACGTTTAATTTGCTTATAGGCAGGAATATGAGGTTGAGCTTCAGTCGTCGGTCTATGTTTACTTTCATCTTTAACGTAGTTTCGACAATAAATAAATCGATGTATGATAATAAAAGGTAAAAATGACTAATACGTAAAATTAATGTGAACGACCACTTACCTTCACGAAGTGTTTCATGTCGGATGGAAGAATGAGAATATCGGGTATTACAGAGATGTCAAGAGCTTTTGGGGCAAGCGAAAAGTCGAGTGGCACTCCTTCGGCAGGGGGGTATAGAGGATAAAAGCTGTTGTGCATTGTCAACAAGTGAAACAAGAGAACCGTAAGTAAGATAAACACAATATTAACACATTGGATTATCCGACATTGTTATGGCTAACACAAGACATGCCTGCGCTGCCGGAGGATATGACTTGCAAGTGTGCTCAGACGGTCGTTGGCTGTTCCCTTTGTTAGATTTCTTGACAGCTCTTCTCCACTAAGGTGTCTGAGGATATCCATGGTGCAGCAGGCTATCTTTGCCTGAAATCCATTATCGACGGAAATATCAGAATTCATTCTGTATAAATATATATATATCAGATATCAGTTTTGTATACTTGAAAATTTACAATTATTTCATCGTCGCGTGTTTGCAATAATGAAGAAAACTAGGTAGTCTAGGTTTCAACAAATCAAGGCGTCAATATTGAAGCACATTCCCAACTCTGGTGCAGGGGCGTTAGATTAGCTAAAACAAGCTTGAACAACAGAATTCACAGAAAATTATGATATGGTTTATTATTATTATTATTATTACTACTTAAGTACTACATCATATGTGGGTGAGGGAATAGTGTATTTGTTCATAGTTCGGAACACTGTTACAAATCCTATCAATCTTTCTCCATCCAATTAAGACGATAGAATAAAAATCAAATTAAGTGCAGAAGGGAATTCAGTTAGCAAATCAAAAGGATTTTCCCATATGCATTGGGTTATTTTTCCCCTATCAGAATTCCAAAGAGAAGGGAAAGAAAAGAGAAACGGACCCCATGGCCAACAACAAAAATGTTCGAAAAGACTCTCCATTTCACCTTTTTAGATGAGAATAAAGTGCTAAGAAATTATCTCATGGTAAAAACTTGGTAAGTGCATGTGCAGGATACCCTGAATGAATTCTTCATTTGTAAGAAATAGAATATCAATGGACTCTAAAAGCCAAGAGGGTCTTAGTTGGATCAATCTTTTTTTTTTTTTTTTTCTTTGCTTTGTTAATTGTTGATGTTTTTCGTTTTTACAATGGAGTATCCAGCTCTCATTTTTCCCTATCTTTATTCCATTTTATAGTATTAAAACAGCCAGCTACTAATTGAGAACTTTAAACTTCCAATATAGGGAAGTCTTGATGAAAACGATAAATTATTAGAAAGCTCATTTGGGAACTCAAAGATGTATCCATGTTTACCTGATTTGCTTCCAAAATGCCTGGGTTCGGGAGACTAGATACCTGATCCAAAACCAAGGCAGTTCAACAGTAAGCATTACTCAAGATAATGAAACTCCATAAAATTTAGAGGAAACTCAAAGCACAAGAATAAATTACCTGAAGTCTAAGATCGGATGGAATGTCAAAAGCAGGCTGCAGAACAAGGTGATCTTTAATAATTTATTCGTTTAAAAACTGATAGATCTGCCTCAACAATTTATACCTGAGGAAAAACAAAGTCGTGATTAGCATCCCTAATAGATGGCATCAAAAGTACACGTGCATCAGGACCCATGTGTTCTACATAATCTTGCACCTGAACAAAATGAAACCAAAATTAAAAGATAAAAAAACATAAAAATTATTTCAAAGTCAAGTATACCATGTTAATTATTACCCTTCTGAGAACTTCAAACTTGAAAATTTCCTCAAAGCTCATCTCTACCGTGCCTCTCTTGATATCAGAATGTTCAGAATCAACAAATGGCCCAAGCTAAGACAACATAAAATGTCAACGACAAGAAGTTTTATTGATAGCTCATTTCATAAAATCAAAAGAAACGAGTGAGTATTTACCAATATTAGTAGCTGAGGAGGCTTTCTTTTTGCATATGCTAGTAACTCTGTCAAAGGCTCAAACAATATGTTGTCTGTCGTTGTATAGGGGCCTGATGCAATAATCTGTTTAACAATATTTCAAGTATGCATCAATAAACCTACTCAGCTCAGGAATATTAACCTGTTCCAATGTGATATTAACTAGAAAAATGCTACAAGAGTTGGGATACAATTTCGACTACTATGAAAGGTGACTGAAAAACATCAGGAATATACAAGAACACATACCATTGATAATTCTGAATGTGTAGAAGAAATTGGCTGGATATCATGGTCCAAAGCTATCTTTTTTGCTGGAGGCAGAATGGGATCGATAGTGGCAGACAAAGGAAATGAATCTACAAGTTTGGATGCTATCAAGCAGTGTCCACTAGGATTATGCCCTTCAATACCTACTACCTGTGCAAATTCAAGTCTCCCAGGTAAGGTATAGTTTTTGGATGATACTACAAGTAGTATAACATTGCATATTGTACCTGGCCAGGGAAGATTGAAAACTGGCTTAAGTTTTGTAATTCTAAACGAACCCGCTGCCCTCCTGAGTGTTCAACACTAAATAAGAACAAACAAATCTTAAAGTTCAGTAGACAACATAACTACCAGAAATATTTTGTTTGTATTGTTTACTTCAAAAACAGAAACATTGGTGGTAATAGAAAAACAGAGCACTTAGACAGCATGAAAAAAACAATATATAATTATACCTGCTTTGCAACATGGTGGACTTATCGTTCAAGTGTCCATCACCATCACAACAAATCATGCCTACTGCAAACAAGCTTTTCTGACACAAGATCACACGTTTAGTTTTGTGCTATCACCGAACAAACTAAGCATTTACTCAGACAAAGTGTATCACAATGTGCAGTCATAAAATTGTAGGATAAAAGTCAAAACATAACCAGCTAGATGGACTGACTTTGGTTTGAAGAATAAATCCTAAAACCTTAACCACCCTAGATTATAATCAAAATTTTACATACACTTAATTTAAGAGAGATATCAAGCAAGACTGCAATTAAACTACCTGCGAAGCAACCGTAGGGTCAACTACTTCTTCATAGAGCCCAGATGCAACAAGAGCTTTTGCATGCTTCACGATTCGGTTTTCTAGTGCATTAAACTACAAAACCAGAAACAACATTTTAGAACATGTACTGAAGTCATGCCAGAGAATCAAATCCAATGCTAAGATAAATAATGTATACCCTATCTTCAACCCTGTCATACATGAACCTGCAATTTGGTTCAAGTCCAAATCCTGATCCATGGACTGTCAGGGAGCATCCTTGCAGGGGTAGAACCTTCTTGATGATTGCATCTTCATCATTCTCGCAATTATCTTCCACCTCAGCAGTCTCCTTATCAGGCACATTATTAATGCTGAACCTCACAGCAAATTTTTCTGTTCTTTGGCCGAAGGGTGTCACATGCTTTGAAGGTTTTCCTGAAGAGAACAAGCCTTCATTTGTGTAAGGGGTCAAATCAAATCGATCCTTGTGGAGGCCCTGAGATTTCCCATTTGGAGTTTTAAGAATGTCTTCCTTTGGATCTTCATCCTCATCATTCAAAATCCTTAAAAAAAAAGTCTTTAATTAACATTTTATAATAATACTTAGAGACATTTGTCAGCCGAGTAGGGAAAGTTACTAAATTTTCAAAAAGAGACAAGTACCAACTTAGTGATATCATATGTATAATTTATGAACAGTTATTATTTGCTATTGTCAATAATTTATGAACAGTTATTATTTGCTATTTCTGTTATGACAGTAGATGACACTCTGTTATAATGCCTTAAGCCTTGTAAAATGCCTGTTTATACCAGGATTATATATTTCTTCCGCACTCAAGGAAATATCTGTTTCACAGTTTAGTATAAGTTGTCAAGTGACCCTATCAAAACTGATATAGACAACTCTCATTACCACTATCCCCTTGTTTGGGAAGGTAACGAAGTCAACTATCCATGACGACATATTGCAACTAGTAAGTCACACTTCAGAAAATTGTTGAGCAGCCAAGTATGTTTACTTACCGATAACAAAATTATTGGGTAATGAATTATAGATGATGAGAATTAAATGGCGTATACCATTCTACGATGTCTGAAATCTGTGCTTGCTTATGAGGAAAGCAGAAAAATAAGAAAACATTGAAAAGATTCCATACATGTCCACATCTTTGCTCGAATAAACATGAAGATCTGGTTCCTCTTTAATGATTGCTTCTTTTTGCTCATTCTGTAAATGTTGTAAAAACCCATCCATCTGTGCAATTTGTACAATTGACCCATCTAATTGCCTGTCCAAGAAACAATTACGTTCAAACTCTTCAGAAATGAAGAAACAGTCAAGAACAAAACCAGAATTCCAGCTTCAGTACGAGATAATCTCAAACAATCTAGGAATTTCCTACTGATTCCTTGACGTGAAAAAGAAAAACCGAAGCCTCGGAACAATTCTAAGTGAAAACAAAGTCAAGTAGATACTAAACTGTATGTATGGCAACCGGAAAGAAAAAAAAGAGTTCAAAAGAAACAGTCACCTGTTGAGATAGTAGACTTCCCAGCTAGAAACTATATCCGAAGGCTTTAGACTATAATTAATACAGAACGTAACACCTAACGCAAAAGATGGAGGAATCGCTGCGCGTCAGTGGTACCCAGTCATGGAGATAAAACAAACAAAACAAAAATGAGAATTTGAGCTTACATTTCTTGAGAATCTCTTCCTCTTCATCGAACGTGAAACCACTTCTCTTGAACTCTTCACCGATCTCGTCATCCATGGCACTGCCTGTACTGCGGAATCTTAGGGTTTGAAAAGCTCCCGCGGTTGTTCTTTTGATTTGCCAGAAATTGGAGGGAAATGAGAGCTTCCCTCACTTATACGGGGTCTAAGTCGGTTCGGTTTTTTATCAAAAACATAAAAACGGTCCGGTTCGGTCGGAGTTTTTTTGGTCGGGTTAGTCGGTTTTCTCTATCCTATGTCAATAATTTAACATACATTAGCTTTATATTATCAAATTCTAATTTACAGAAGATTATATTTTTAAAATAATTTATATTTATTGTAAAAACTAATTTACTAATAATTTTTTAAAATATCTTTTAAGCTTTTGGATAAGACATTTTTTATTATCCATTTTTTAATTTAATGTTTTAGCAAGAAATTCGAACATCTAACTTCTTAATCTAAAATATAAGCATTTGAATTCGTTATATATTCATATTAACATAAATAAACAAAACATTGACTTTGAAATTTATTGATTTTATTTGTTCAACTTTTGAAACCGAGTTGATATTATCCCCAACATTAATGAAAAAATGAGTGCATTAGAATCGATCGTGTTTGGTGATTCAATTCAACATTTTAACTAACATTTTGTTCGTTTGAATTTGAGTATGTCATAATAACTCAATAATTAGTTGGCCAAAACGATCAAACACTTCGAGTAATTTCTCAAAAAAAAATAGATTAATGAAGAAATGAATGAAAGTCTTTACTCGTAAACATATGTTGTTTGAGTGATAAATCGAAGTTGAAAATAAGGCTTAAATTCAATGTAACAACCCAAGCTCACTCGCTAGGAAACATTGTCCACTGACTCGTTACATATTGCCGTCAATCTCACGATTTTCACACTCTTATAATGAATGTTTCATTTCTCTCTCCAACCGATGCGGGATCTCACAATCTACCCACCTTGGGGGCCAATATTTTCATTGGCACATCGACCAGTGTCTAGCTTTGATATCATTTGTAACAGCTCAAACCCACTGCTAGCAAATATTATCTGCTTTGTCCCATTACGTATCTCCGTCAGCCTCACAATTTTAAAACGTGTCTTCTAAGGAGTAGTTTACACACTCTTACAAAAAAATATTTCATTCTCCTCTTCAACTCACGTCTCCACACGACATAGCATAGAAAAGCTATGAGATGATATGGTGATTTTTCTCAAGGAATATGCTTCAAAGCTCATTTTGTTGCAGACTGTTGTTTGGCATCACATCTCAAAGGTGTGTTGCAGAGTGAACAAATGATATCAGGAAAGGGAGGAATTTCAACATATTTACTCCAGAACATATCAGTTACCAGAAGCATAGACCAGTTCATCTGCATAGTTTAAAAGTCATGAAGACTCCCAACCTCAATCCTCTTGAAAATGAACACTTACTTCATCGACCCCCAATCGCCCGACCCGACGATCTATATCCCATGTGCTTATGAGTCAACAAAGTAAGAACGGAAGCATCTCAAGCAACCAAATTAAAATTAAGACGACACACCGATAACAAAATCACAAATGATCAACTTCGTCGCCTATGCCTATCGAGCACAAAAATCTAGACGAGAAGGGTATGCTTTTTCACAGCTCACAGGTTTGTTACTCATCAATTCTTCATGATATCTTCAATTCCAATTGATCAATCCTCTTGAAAACCAACACTTACTTCATCAACACCCAATCGCCCAACATGACGATCTATATCACCCAACAAAGTGAGAATGGAGGCATCTCGAGCAACCAAATTAAAATTGAGACGACACTCAGATAACAAAATCACGAATGATAAACTTCGTCGCCTATGTTTATCGTGCCCAAAAATCTAGAATAGAAGGGTATGCTTTTTCACAGCTCACAGGTTTGCTACTCAGAAGCTCACAATTTCTTCATGATATCTTCAATTCCAATTGACCAATCCTCTTGAAAACCAACACTTACTTCATCCACACCCAATCGCCCGACCCGACGACCTATATCCCATGTGCTTATGAGCCCAACAAAGTGATAACGGAGGCATCTCAAGCAACCAAATTAAAATTAAGACGACACTCAGATAACAAAATCACGAATGATCAACTTCGTCGCCCATGTCTACCGTGAACAAAAATCCAGATTTGTTACTCAGAAGCTCACAATTTCTTCATGATATCTTCAATCCTCTCAGCAACTTCATCCATGTTCTTCTGCTTAACTTCATCCAGAAGCAGTTTACATGTAAGGTATCTCGGCTTTATATCTTGACCGACCATCTTCTCAAATAGCTGGTAAGCCCACTCGCACTTATTTGCTCTACATAGACCATGAATTAAAAGGGAATAAGTTGATATATCAAGACTCAAATGCTGTTTATTCATCATGTCATCCAACAACTTGCTCAAAACATTGTCCGTCTTTCCAGTTCTAAAGCAGGATTTGAGCAATGGGTAATATGTCTGGACATCAGGTTTACAAAGCCCTGATTTCTCCATCTCCTCAAGCAATTTCATAGCCTTCTGTTCTTGTGCACGATGACAATACATGGAAATCATAGAATTGTAAGTCGATGTATTCGGTAAAACACTCTTGCTCGGCATTTCTACTTCGAATACATGAATAGCTTCCCGTACTTTACCCGCTCTCCCTAATGTATGGATCAAACAATTATAAAACAGTGTATCGGGTTCACATCCAGCAGATTTCATTCTCTCTGCAATTTGCAAGGCTTCCTCAAATTCTTCTGACTTTGTTAGTGAACACATGATAGTAGTGTAAGTGATGACATTTGCTGGGCATCCTTGAGTATCCATTTCATCAAGCAACTCATAAACCTTACTAAATTTGCAATGACGACAATAGAATAGGATAATCGTCGAATAACTAATGACGCAAGGACGATAACCATGTCCTTTCATCTCTTGTAACGTCCAATGTGCCTCATCAACTCTATCAACTTTACACCAACCATGAATAAACATGTTGAACGTGTTGGCATTTGGGGATATATGGGACTTAAGATCCAAATATATCCGTCGAGCTTGTTCAACCCTCTTCTCTTTGCACAGAGTATCAAGCAGCACATTCATGGATTCAGTGTTCTTCTCCAACCCAAAGGTTCCCAAATCATCAAATATTCTCACAGCATCTTCCCATTGTCCAGCACCAGCAAACCTTCGCATAGCCTTAGCTAGAGTATTAAGCGTTACGAGCTGAGCTTCCTTCATTTCTTCTAGCATACCTTTCATCTTGACCATTTGCTTTGTTTTCCCCAATGTATCTATAATAACGTCATATAAATCTGGTGTGTGCTTGAATCCAGAGAGTGACTCTGCCCATCTAAAAACACCCAATGCAGACTTCCAATCATCTTTGAATCGTTGGAGCAATTTGTAAACAAATTCATGGGAGAAGTGTATGCGGTTACACGCTTGATCGTGTAAGAGAGACTGAAAAACTTCATCCTCGCTGCTACCAACCCGAACTTTGGAAATGATCAAATCAATATCAGAAAGTTTTGTCTGATATTCAGATTGTATTATTTGCTGCAAATCTCTACCTCTTATAAAAATGGAAGGTTCCAGCAGAGACGAAAAATTTGCAGAGGATACATGAAAATAAGCAAATAGTTTACAACGATCAAGAACACCACAAATTCTCTTAAGATTCTTCTGAAAACGCAATGACATGAAGCACACCAGCTGAAGAAAGTCCAAAATAACAAACAAACAAACAAACTTGGATTTATTCTTCCGCAACTAATATAACACAGAAAACTTCAGAATGGAAAAGTTTCTCTTGTTCTTGATTAAGTGAAGAGAGAAATTTCGAAGAACGGAGTATGCAATTCAGGAAGAATCTCACAGTTCAGAGAAAAGCCTTAGGGTCGAAAATCAGCAATAACCACAATTGATACAATCAAATCCACGCACCTGTGGAAGTCGTAGTCCAGTTTCAAGGAGCGTAGTGCAGGTATCTGATCTGCAATTCTTCACCAAATTGAAACGATAAAACAGCGAATTAAGAACTCATAATGAACGAAAACAGGAGAGGCAGTGAGGAGAAATGCGGTCAATCAGTCAGAAAGCAAATGAATTCTTTCAAAATATGGAATTCACGGACTAGGGTTTCCAATCCAGAAAAACAACTTGGACTCGAGTCTCGCGGAGAAGAGTAGGTTTCAGAGAAAATTGCGGCTAAACTCCGAGAAAGATGAACTGAGCAGCATCGGTTATTTAGCGTATTTAGAATCGACATGTCGTTTTATATTATATATATATATATATCAAAATTCAAATACAAATCTAAAATTAAATAAGTAAATATTTTTTAAGGGTTGAAAAACTATATTATAATATTAATTTTTTAGTTATCATTATAATATATTTTTCTTTATAAAATATTTTTGAATTTATTAGAACATTTTAGAAATTATATTAAAAAATAAAAATTATTTGAAAATAATATAAATATTTTATAATATATAAAGAAGGGAAAAAATTTCACTCAATAGCTTTTAACTTGACTACAGAGAATTGACTCTGTCTTCGTCTTCTTCCTTTGACTTTATTCCCTAATCGATACCGATGCTACTCTGATCAGTGTTCAGAAACATATTTGCCTTGTGAAAGAACCAAACACCTATTTACCGATAAAGCCTCCCTTTGACTTTATTCCCTAACCGATACCGATGCTACTCTGATTAGTGCTCAGAAACATATTTACCTTGTGAAAGAACCAAACACCTATTGATTAGTGCTCCGAAACATATTTACCTTGTGAAAGAACCAAACACCTATTTATCGATAAAGCCTACAAAATCTGACAAGGGTGAATGAGGTAAGATCAGTAGAAGTTCATATTCTTCAAATAGCTTATTTCTCTTATTTATTCAAATCAAAATTGATCGAGAGTCACGAACGTGCTCGACTCTCAGAGGAGAGAAGCAAACGAATCTGATCTCCACATATTCCGTGGTGGAGAATTCCTTGGTCCCAATCAAAATAAATGAAATAAGAAGTCGGGATCACGAGGAAGGTTTTCATGTCCCCATCCAACTCTGTGGACATCTCTAACATGGGTCATCCCAAATAGAGTAGAAAATTCTAGTTTACGAGGGAATAGAAAGAGGGCGGAGAGAATCAGATTGTTTTTTTAAATTCTCGTCCAAATATTTATTTATATTATTATTATAGTAGCAAATTGTTGGAATATTAAAATTTCTTATAAATTAGGTAGTTAAAATGAATTATTATTGTTTTTTTTAGGGACGTCCTGTCTCCACCATCCCCATAGACATCTCTACACTTCTTCGGGGCTTCCTATTTAAAATGGTCGAGATTCAGAAAGATAAGTATCATTAATTGATGTGTGGCACGAAACTTTTACTATGTAACGAAGCACAATTCCAATTACATTAAAAAAATAAAAATAAGAAAAATAAGACTATGGTTAACACCTAATCTGTCTCATCAACTATTGTTAGAAGCTTGTGAGTGGTATTTGCTAGGATTTTGGTATTGCTCATAGGATCTTCATCCTATGCAGTTGGTACCAGTTCTTACTGGATGATATTAAACTCATGAACTTCAGCTACCCTCCACTGTTTGAGAGTGACTATTGGATGATGATCTTCTCAAGAATTCCGCCACCAACTTTGAAAACGAAGAAGAACTGTTCTCGAGTAGTCGAGATGGCTTGTCGTATTCAATGACCTTCCCTGTAAAAACGAAACTCTTGTGCATTAGAATTGCAAGGAAAGTAGTACTATAACAGCTCAAAATCACCGCTAGCAGATAATGTCCACTTTGGGCTTTTTCCCTTTCGGGCTTCCCCTCGAAGTTTTTAAAACGGGTCTGTTATGGAGAGGTTTCCACACTCTTATAAAGAATGTTTCGTTTACCATTTTAACAACCCAAGCCTACCGATAGCATATATTGTCCTCTTTGGGCTTTCCCTTTCGGATTTCCACTCAAGGTTTTTAAAATGCGTCTGCTAGGGAGAGGTTTCCACACCCTTATAAAAAATGTTTCGTTTACCATTTGTAATAGTCCAAGCACACCACGAGTAGATGTTATCCTCTTTGGGCTTTCCCTTTCGGGCTTCCCCTCAAGGCTTTGAAAACACATCTACTAGAGAGAGGTTTCCACACCCTTGTAAAGAATGTTTCGTTTACCATTTGTAACAACCCAATCTCACCATTAGTAGATATTGTCCTCTTTAGACTTTCCCTCTCAAGGTTTTTAAAACGCGTCGGCTAGGAATAGGTTTTCACACTTTTATAAAAAATGTTTCGTGTGCCATTTGCAACAGCTCAAGCCCACCGCTAGTAAATATTGTCCTCTTTGGGCTTTCCCTTTCAGGTTTCCCCTCAAGGTTTTTAGAATGCGTATGTTAGAGAGAGGTTTCCACACCCTATTAAAGAATGTTCCGTTCTCCTCCCCATCCAACGTGGAATCTCACCATTACTAAACTACACAAGAACTTAGCTTACCTTCATCAAGAACCAAAACCAAATCATTGTCGATAACAGTCGGTATACGATGAGCTACGGTGATAACAGTACATCCTTTCGTCTCGTCTCGTATCGTTTCTTGGATTATATTCTCTGTTGCAGTATCAATGGAAGCTGTTGCCTCATCCAAAACAAGAATCCTACGCTTCTTAAGAAGCACTCTAGCTAAGCAAACAAGCTGCCGCTGTCCAACACTCCAATTCTCTCCACCTTCAGCAACTGCAACATTTCCCAACACCAAAACAGTATTCATGAGTAAAAGATAACATAAACTGAACAAGAACTTCAAAAAAAATGTCCCACCTGGTGCTTCAAGAACTGTTTGATCCGTTTTGAAGATCTCGGCGAACCGACACTTCCGAAGGACCTGAAATATCGAGTCAGTTTTACGATCACGTTAACTTTTCATTCTCTAAAAAGGTATTTGTAATCTCACCTCCCATATTTCTTGATCAGTATGTTGCTGCAAAGGGTCAAGATTTGTTCTCATGGTTCCTTTGAACAATGTTGGGTCTTGTGGAATGATACCCAGCCTAGACCTCAGATCATGAAGACCCATTTTAGCGATATCAACTCCATCAATGAGTATCCTTCCTGCAAAGGGCTCAACCATCCTAAAAAGTGCTTGGATTAACGTGGACTTGCCACTTCCTGTCCTGCCAACAACACCAATCTTCTTCCTTTTAGGGAAGGTACAAGTGATTCCTTTCAAAACCATTGGAAGATTAGGACGGTATTGAACATGAAGGTCCTCAAGTTCTATGTTCCCCTCCTTTGGCCATTCTGGCATTGGCCTACAATCATGAACCACCGGTGGCTCCTCAGAAGCTATGTTAGTAAACTGAAGAACTCTCTCAACAGATATCATTTTGTTCTCAACATTGCATAGATTCCATATGACCCAAGATTGAAGAACGTTTAAGTTTAAACCGTATGTGGCTGCTAATCCTGCTAAACCTGTAGTGACATAATAAACCAATGGTTAGGTGAGCGAATGGATAGCAGTTGCATCAATGGAGATAGCTAAAGTTTGGAAAGGTTACTTGGGTTGATAGCTGATCTAGGAAGGGTTACTAAGATGACAAGGACAAGAACGAAGACTGTGTCGAAAAGAAAATTGATTCGGAGGCATAACCATTCCATTGAAGTTGAGTTGTGGAAAACGATACGAGAATAATCATCAACTAGTTCGAGTATTTTCGTTAAGAAACGATCTTCTTGATTGAAACAACGAATGATAGTTGCACCTACAACTGTTTCAGAAAAGTGATGAAGAATTGGAGCTTTTCGAATCCCAACCATTCTAGCTAATTCTCTAGCAGTACTGATGTAGTATCCCTGTTAAGGAAATTGAGAACAGTTTAAGACATTAAACTTGATGATCTATTGTATATGATAAAGCTTACAGGACTTGAAAGAACAAAGCATCTCACATTGATGTGAGATGCTGCAGAATATGCAAATTCTAGGAACAATAGCTTTTTACTGTTTGTTCATTAGTGTAATAGCATATTTGTTACAATCCAAGTCCACCACTAGCAGATATTGTCCGCTTTGGCCCGTTACGTATCGCCGTCAGCTTCACTTTGGCCTCACGGTTTCCACACCCTTATAAGGAATGTTTCATTCCTCTTTTCAACCTATGTGGGATCTCACAATCCACCCCCTTGGGGGCCTAGCGTCCTTGCTAGCACACTGCTCGGTGTCTAACTCTGATACCATTTATAACAGCCCAAGCCCACCGCTAACAAATATTGTCCTTTATGAGCTTTCCCTTCCGGGCTTCCCCTCAAGGTTTTAAAACGCGTATGCTAGGGAGAGGGTTTAACCCTACTCCAACCAGTGCCTCACACCGTCCGGTAACTAGCTCTGATACCATTTGTAACAGCTCAAGCCCATTGCTAGTAGATATTATCCGTTTTGGCCCGTCACGTATCACCGTTAGTCTCACGGTTTTAAATGGGTCTACTAGAGAGAGGTTTCTACACCCTTATAAGAAATGTTTCGTTCCTCTCTCCAACCGACGTAACATCTCACAATATCTGCTAGCAGTGGGATTGGACACTATTGTAAGCTAAAAGAGGGAATATGTTCTTACCTGATACCATATAGAAATAGCGAGGACGACAAGGAAGAGGGGGAAAACATGCCATGCAACCTTGGACATCAGGATAATGATACTCAACAGCTGAATTAGTGCAAAGGCCAATCCTCCTAATCTATAAGGGATATCTGTATCCAAAGTGCTTTGATCATTAGATGACTGCATCACAAAGAAGATGAAAAGAGGGGTTAAAATGATTGATTCAGCGAAAGTTGAATAGAGAAGAAGATAGCAAACACATTGAGAAGGTATTAACTCTGTTAAGGATTTGGCTTGAAGGTTTGACATCAAAGAAAGAAATAGGTGCAGCAAAAATTGATGTCACCATTCCAAGAAACATCCGTTGTGCAGTCTCAATAGCAATGGTTGCCATCACAACGGCCCGGCCTAATATAAAGACGGAGCTCACGCCCGACATCAAAATGAAGATCCCTATCAGTTGCTCTCTGCTGACCTTGCCTTCTTCTTCTGTTGCCCAAGAAATCCAGTAATTGCTACCCATCTGAAGGATTTGAAAGAAAACTTGACATAGAAGGACAACAGGAACAAGAGTTCCTTTATAAGCCGACGTAATGAAGGTCGAGTATACGCTCCACTTTACACGACCTGTTTGAGATTCCTCTTCTTGAGTCCTCATAAGGTCTCCATTTCCAAGGGTCAGGGAAGAATTTTCATCTTGAGCTTCCATCTGACATGGTTTAAGATGAGGTTTATCCTCTTTGAATGGTTTAACTCCATTCAATGACTTTCTGTGTGCTGCAATGTGCCTAGCAAGCTCACCATTTGAGTCTGATATCAATTCTGCGTACTTTCCTGATTGAACAACATGACCATTCTTCATCACCTGCAAGCAAAAGCATGAGTTCCAAGTGATGTTTCATGGAAAGCAACAAAAAAAAAAAAAAAAAAAAAAAAAAAAAAAAAAAAAAAAAAAAAAAAAAAAAACTAAGCTGCTTGTCGGGAGGGAGTCCCATATTGGCTAATTTAGGGAATGATCATGGGATTATAAGTAAGGAATACATCTCCACTGGTATGAGGCCTTTTGGGGAAGCCCAAAGCAAAGTCATAAGAGCTTATGCTCAAAGTGGACAATATCAACCATGGTGGAGAGTTGTTATTCCTAACATAGTATCAAAGTCATGCCCTTAACTTAATTATGTCAATAAAATCCTTAAATGTCGAACAAAGAAGTTGTGAGCTCAAAGGTGTAGTCAAAAGTGACTCAAGTGTCGAACAAAGTGTGTACTTTGTTCCATGGACTCTAGAGAAGGAGTCGAGGCTCAATTAAGGAGAGGTTGTTTGAGGGCTCCATATGCCTCAGGGGAGGCTCTATAGTGTACTTTGTTCGAGGGGTGGATTGTTTAGGATTGTCGGGAGGGAGTCCCACAGTGGCTAATTTAGGGAAGATTATGAGTTTATAAGTAAGGAATACATCTCCATGAGGCCTTTTGGGGAAACCCAAAGCAAAGTCACGAGAGCTTATGCTCAAAATGGACAATATCATACCATTGTGAAGTCGTTATTCATAACACTGCTTACCAGAACGAGGTCGGCGGCTTCTATGAATTCCAAATGATGAGTAGCATATAAGACCGTCTTATCAGACAAAAGTTGCAAAAGACATCTCTGCATATCATCAAAGTTTCGTATGAAAATCTTTTATAGAGAGCATAAAAAGAAAGAACAACAAGAAAACATAGAAAGATGGCGCTTGCCTTGAACAAATGTGTTCCAGTACAAGCGTCCACGGCGCTAAACGGATCGTCCAGGAAGTAAACATCAGCATCACTATAGACAGCCCTTGCCAATTGAACTCTCTGCTTTTGGCCTCCACTTAAGTTCAGCCCCCTCTCTCCCAATAAAGTACAATCTCCATCCAGCCACAGCTTGATATCCTGGTCCAAAGCACAGCCTTCTAACACATCCCCATAAAAACGTTCATCAATTTCCTTCCCAAAGAGCACGTTCTCTCGAACCGTGCCTGATTGAATCCAAGCACTTTGAGGAACATAAGCTTTAGTTCCATGTACCTTCATTTGTGTTCCTGAAATCTGTGGAATCTCGCCTAGTATGCTACAAAGTAAGCTCGATTTTCCTGAACCGACCGATCCACAAACTGCAACCTTGTAACCCTTTGGTATTTGCAACTTCTCAGCAATGTTTATCGTCGGTTTAACGTTTAGACGATCACTGGCATCCCATGAATACTCTCCCACCTCTATTTCAACCATGATGTCTGATGAACTAGATGGAGGATAATAAATCTGTTTCCTTTGATCTTCTTCTCGAATGAACTCGTGGATACGGTCGAGGGAAACTTTCGTTTGAGCAATCATGGAAACTAGCTCAGGTAGATTATAAATCGGTTCTTGTAAGATCCGAAAAGTAGCTATGGCTGATAACACTGTGCCTGCTGTTAGAGAGACATTCATCAAAACACAAGTACCAAAAGTAACTACTGAAACTAAAGTTGGTGACACCCAAAAGAGAACTGCTATAACCGAGCATGTATAGAGGTATCTCTTCAACCAGCCTCTCTCAACGTCTCTAAGTTTCAAGATCTTCTTCAAAAACGTCTGTTCCCAAGAATGCAGTTTCAAGACTCTCATGTTTCTTAGAGTCTCTGAGGTCAATTTGATCCGGGAATCTTTCGCATCCATTATCTTCGAGTGTAGACTTTCTTGAATATTCGCCAAGGGCGTATTGCCCACCATTATGAATACTATGGCTAAGAGAGCAGTAATTGAAGGAGCAAGTCCAAGATTCATATAAAGGATAACAAGAGCTAGAACTACTTGAACAGGAAGCAACCAAATCTTGTGAATATACCAAGAGAAGTCCCCAATTCTTTCAACATCTACGTTAATCAAATTTGTTATTTTACCATTACTTGGACCAGCAGCATTTATAGAAACACATTTCTTGTAAATCATCACTGTAAGAGCTGCTCTTATCTGTATACCAAGACGGTGAGTGCCGAAATAGCATTGTCTTTGAGTAAGAGACTCCAATGTCTTGGCGAAAAAGAAGAAGAACGCAAGAATCAACCCGTCACGGTTGCTCAAGTCGTCGTCCTTTTGCAATAGATAGTTCACAAAATTGGTGATTAGAACAGGCCCCATAAACGACGCTAATGTGTTGACACCTGAGAAAAGTTTTGAACAAAGAAATTAGAGTATATCGAGACGAAATCAACGTGTAAGGAAGATCAATAGGGTACCTGCAAAGATTGCTGTTAAGACCAGGGGCTTCCATGTAGCTAGAACAATAGCTTTAGGCAAGGAAGACGATTCGATTTTCGTTCTCTCAATCGATTCTTCGAGCAACATGGAAGCATACTCGGCTGTTTCAGATTGAGGAACACAAGGAACATGAGCTAATTCAAGTTTTTGAATCCTTCCCTTTTTGAACAGAGGGTTCATCCATTGGAATGTAATTTGACTCCACAATCCAGGACTCACAAAACCACCATGATCTTCAGAAGAACAAACATTCTCTGTTTGAAGCAATAGCTTCTCAAGATCATTATGGTTCTTGGAATAGCTAACAGTCAGGGCAGTACAACAGATTATCAAACACAAAGTGAAGGAAGACCAGTCTACAATGGTGGGTTTTGGAAGAAAATGGGGGATTTCCATGGATTTCAAATGGGTAAGCAGGACAAGAATCAAACAACCTAAACCATAGAAACAAGAGAAAACCCACCAAACAATTAGAATCATAGGCCACGGTTTGCCTTGATGATACACACCATTTCTCCAGTAGATAGCAATAGCAGCAGCCAAACTCCAAGTTAAAGCAGAAATGGCCAATTCCCAACAAACAAATTTGCTATTCAAATATTCATAAACAGCAAAACCACAATACAAGAACGGAAGAACAGCATTAGAAAAGATTGTGATTCTGATCAGCCATTTAGATCCTCGAGCCGCTGCGTTTCTTAATCGAGGGTTTCCACATCGAAAATGAACCAAAACCCATATCGAAAATGCAAAAATAAACACAGCATTTACGATTACAGAAGCAAAATCCATGAAAACAGAGTCTAAAGATCGCCAAGCATTGAGAAGAACGTGAACAACAAGGAATGGCGGTTTCAGTAAGAGCAGCAGAAGAACAGAGTAATTTGAGAAAAGCACGTGGGTGTTACGAAAATGGCGAAAACTGAATCAAATATAAAGAATCGTAATGGATTTATCGCAGTAGCCAAGGAGCATGTTCTTTATATAAAGAAGAATCGCATTTAAAAATGGCTGGAACTCTGTAGCTTTTTGGACTAATCTTTGTCGTCCCCAGTTCATATCGCGCTCTCGACTGTGGAAACATTCCACCCGAACTTGCAACTCCAATGATCTCCTCATTATGGCTCCATTCTGTGAATTAATTGTGGTAAATTTTTCTTTAAATTATTTAAATTTAATAATATTCCAATTTTAAATTATTCTTCCCACTCCAAATAAATTATTATTAATATCATACTAAAAAAAGTTTTATAACATGTTCATAGAATCACAGACCAATTTGGACTACCCGATCCAAATCATAAATGTTAGGTTATGTTATGTTTTGTTGGTTTCGGTTGAGTTGAATTCAAGTTGACTCGCGATTGACATTTTTTTGTCGGGTCAACTCGACCCTCTCATGGCTACAATCAAACCCGACCCTACTTTACTTATATGATCCAATTCTCTGCTTTTGTGTTGGATTATAAACTCTAGTTAAGTGGTTCGAGTCACCAATCTTATAGCTAAAAAAAATTTCAAACCCAACTCATTAAATATTCTCAAAACTAAAATTAAAAAATAGTAAAAAATAAAATTTTAAAAATAATCAAATTAAATAAAAATAAATAAATTTATGAAGTGGACGACAATAAAATAAAATTAAAGTAATGAAGAAAATGTATAAAATTAATTAAATTGGTTTAAATTCTTGTTATTCAAAATTTCAAAATTAAAGTTAATTTATAAAAAAATAAAAAAAATAAATAAAATAAATAAAAAGAAGAAAAAAAATTTGGTTAATGGAATTAGAAAAACTTTATTCACAAAAGGTTTTAGTTACAGCCACGTTAATTTTATCGAATCCCGCGCTCCAATGATAATGTGCCACGTGGATTACCGGAAACTGATGACGTAACGTTAAGTTCTGTGCCAAGCGGTGGCTCCGAGTCGCCAACCTCCTCAAAGCGGGTCCGGTGATTGACCGAAGACCTGCTGACGTGGGCTGCAAGCGTAAGCCTCACTTACGGTTTAAATCGGAATTTTTGGAAAAAAAAAATTAAAATTTTTTAATAATATCTATTTTTTTAGAATTTTATCCAATTTTAGAAACTAAATTTATTATTTCAAATCATTCAAATTAGTTTTTTAAATTAAAGTTACATTTATTAAATTTATAATTTAATTAATTAAATTACTATCTAATTCTTAAAATTTTAATAAATTTTGTGTTTAATAAATTTCTAAATATCTATTAAATATTTAATTTATTTGACATTTTTTTTTAAATGCATGAACCTATTGAACACAAATTAGAAAATTTTGAATTATATTAAACATGAATTTAATTTTTGTCTCAAATGGTACAATTTTTTTAATACAAAATTTTGACTACAAAAGAAAAAGAGAAAGAAACTACGATTACTTTTTCTTTTCAGTTCCGATAGGTTTATATGAGATGATTTATTACATTCGTACCCTAAATGATGAACTAGATAATGTGAGGTCGGTCTGCTGTGATTGAGATTACACGTTTAAGATCTAGAGATGCAGTGGTTATAAGGTCGTGCCTCACTTTTATGTGTATTATTGAGATAAGCTTAGAGGAGCTGGATAATTTGACACCAATAGTTGAGATAAGCTCATATGAGCTAGATGATAGTGACACTAATGGAAGAATAATTTATAGTTGAATGTGGACGTGACACTCAACTATACTCTCTATTTTCGAATAGGGATTTACATGAGTCGGGTTAGGTCATGTTGGTTGAACTAGTAAACCCAATCCAACTCTACCCTCTATTTTCGGGTTGGATTCGAGTTAGGTTGTTAAAAAAAATAAAAGTTGAAAGAAGAGGATCACTATGCGAGTAGGGAAAGATGATCGATATGCAATAGGAAAAGATGCATAAGCCATAAGGAGTGCGACTGACAACTAGCGACACGAGGTGAACGGTGATAGCGATAGTGTGCTCACTAACTCACTACGTTGAGCTAGGAAGAAGAGTACAAGTAGGTACTGTGCGTTGACTCGATACTTTACACACTGAACTCATACCCAACCCGAACCGAATCATATCCTAAAAAATTAATTCAACCCCACTCGAAATTCTACCTAACCCAACCTAATCCTTATAGTTTGAGTTGGATAATTTTCTAATAAGTTAATATATTAAATATAAAATTTTTAAATATATTGCACATGGAAGTTTTATTTATTTATTTATTTATTAAGAATTTATTAATATAAAGTATAACGTGTGAACTTGGACATTTCCTTTTTTCTTTAATATTTATTCAATATATTGGGTTATTTAAATATTTAATTATTAAGATAACTTTTTAAAAAGCTATATTACACGTGCACCAATTCCAATAAATCCAACATCCTTCGTGGATGAGTTGTTGCCTTTTATTAAAAAAAAAATAAAAAAAAATAAAAAAAATTTAATATAAATATTCTCAAACAAATTAACATGTGAAAATGGGATAATGTTTATTTTAAGTAATTTTTATAATTTTTTTATGTGTCAAAACTTTTAATAACTTTTTAAATCATATAAATATTTTTGAAATACCCAATTTAACCCTAATCGATTAAGAGACATACTATGAATCGATACCACATTTAAATGAGAGTGATCCTAATAATACGAGAGCTAAGAAACCGATAGTCACTATTTGTACTAACAAGATACAACTTTCTTTCCGGTGGCTCGATTATATGAATTTTAAAGTGAAACATGCTAAAATGACTCTTAGAAGAAATTTAAAACAAGCTTGTAACTCGATCGTGTTGCAGTAGATGCAGGAGAATATTAGAAGCATAGTAATTAAAATTTAAATTCTAATTCGAATCGTGGGTATAAGCGGTTATATAAATGGTAGCCGTGATTAATAACGATAAAATTCTATTATTTTTTTTCTTTAAATCAAAATTTATTATTTATTAAAAGTTATTAGGAAACCATTCACATCAACTTGGAAAATAATTATTTGTGAACAAAAAAACAACTATGCCCATTTGCACCCAACAAAGAAGACCAAAATAAGACATTAAAAGTTTATACTAATTTATTTAAATAATATATTTTTTTAAAAAAATATTGAATAATCTACGCATTAAAATATAAAAGTTTATTCGAGTGTGAATATAAATATCGATAAAATACTCACAAACAAACAACTCCGGGGATATTTTTTTTCAAATAATTTCTCATTAGAAACCAATCCAATCCCAACAGTGTGAGTTGGACCGGAATCGAATAAATGAAAAATGAATGAGATTTGTGAGATTTCACATTAATTTGAGAGCGAAACGAAATATTCTTTATAAAAGTGTGGAAACGTCTCCCTAACAGATGCGTGTTAAGAATCGTGATGCTAACGGCGATACGTAACGAGCTAAAACGGATAATATCTTATAGCGGTGAATTTGAGTTATTATAAATGGTATAAGAGTTTGACACTAGACGATGTGTCAATGAGGACGTTGAGTATCAAAGCTCGACACTAGGCGGTGTGTCAACGAAGACGTTGGTCTAAGAAGGTGGATTGTGAGATCTCACATCGGTTGACCGAATTGAATTCGTTGTTTCATAAAAAAATTATTTCAACTGAAAAAATTTAAAATTGGATTTTATTATTAGTTCTTTTAAGGTTTGAGGATGAACATGAAAACGACAAAAGACAAAGACAGTGACAATGTGTATGCCATTTTGTCAGATTCTTAGTCACCTTCCTGCCACTTCAGCCATGTCAGCCACCTGTTTCACACTTACTCCAACCATTTTATTCCACGTCATATATCTTTATTTTATTTTATTTTTTAAAAAAATTCTTTGTACAAACCATTACTCCATTTTAAAAGTTATTGGTTATTTCAGTTAACTAGTTGGATTGACCCGACAAAAAAAATGTCAATTCACAAATTGAACCAATTTTTTTATTTTTTCAAAAACCCAGTTTAACTCAAATCGAAAGGAAAAAAAAAAAAAAAAAAACTAACCCAACCCAATTTTTATGAGGTGTGGTTCACATGAGTTGAATTATCAGATCATATGAACTAAGAATGTTTGATTAATACACCACACCTAAATGATGTAAAAATGTAAAAGTTATCTTATTTATAATCAAATAAATTTCAAAGACATGGACATAGTAATAAATGAAAATAACAATAAATAGAAAGATACCTATAGTAATAATAATTTATTACTAAATATCCTTAACACTCCACCGCAAGCTAAGCGTCGGATTTAAACAAACGTGAAGCTTGAATCTGAAAAATTCAAAGAGGTTGAGAAACACTTTTCGTGAAGATGTCAACCTGTTTCAAAGGAGGCGCTTTCTTGGCCATCAAGAATTGCAGAGGGATCGCCGCTCAGCGGCGACGCTGCCTTGGCTTCGGTGAGAATATGTATAACCCATGAAGAGGGATTGTGTCGCTTAGCGACGATGCTGCCTTGGCTCTGGTGAGAATATGTCTAACCCCAAGAAGTAGAAGAGGAAACCTAGAGCAAGGGACAAAGACAATGTTGAAGTCGGAAGAGTCGCCACATTGTGCAAATGTGACAATTTTGGCGAGAAGGGTCGTCAGAAGAGTCGCCACATTGGGCGAAGGAGGCAATTTTGGCAGGAAGGGTGGTGGCAACTTGGTTGGCGAAGAGGCCAGTGCAGCACCCAGATTCCGAAGGTAAATCTCTGCAAAAGGTTGATGGGTTTGTTGAGATTCCGTATATTTCTGAAGAGAAGAGGATCTTGAGATTAGGGTTTCTGTGAAGGATGAAAGGTTGATTGGGAAGAAAATAAGAGAGACTATATTGGCCAAGGGAAAAACCGATTGGTTTGAAAAATGTGAGGTTGTATGTACTGACGAAAGGTGATTTGGAGGTCAATAGGGTGGAGCTGAAGAGTAATCAATCGGCTCTGCCTACGGCAACCATGAAGACTGCCCCCTGCGATGTCAAAATCAGCAAAGGTGGTGAAGAAAGAGATTAGAGGATTCAAAAGCTGTTGAAAAGCAAGGATCAGGGTTGTTAGACCGAGAGGGTTTTGATACCATAAGAATGTTTGATTAATCCACCACACCAAAATGGGTGTGAAAGTTATCTTATTATAATCAAA